AAAAGGAGCACTCTGTTGCTGCAGAAATCTGATAGATTTATTGAGGGACTAACAAACAATAGTTTTGGCATGAATCAACTTCATCAGAAACTTAAGCCTATTGTTTGATAGTCCTGCCAATAAATCTATCAAATTTATACAGCAACGGAGTGTTTCTCATGTTTTTTATGTTTGTGTTTGTTTGTTTGTGTGTGTGTGTGTGTGTGTGTGTGTGTGTGTGTGTATGTTTGCACAAGCTGGTGTGTGTGTGACTGTGTCTTTGTGTACAAGCTGGTCTGTGTACATCTGTGTCTTTGTGTACAAGCTGGTGTGTGTGTGACTGTGTCTTTGTGTACAAGCTGGTGTGTGTGTGTGACTGTGTGTCCCTGGTATATCTAGTTCTATCACTAGCTGTGGTAACAGCTTGACATTAGTTATATTTCTATTAAGACACCCTGCTAGGAACAGAGAGTGAGAGCGAGAGCGAGAGCGAGAGCGAGAGCGAGAGAGAAAAAGAGAGAGAATATTACGCAGAGAAAGAGAGCGAGAGATGCTGCCAGATAATTACAGAGAGAAAGAGAGAGTGAAACAGGCTGGGAGAGTGTAAGGAAAGAGGGAGGAGAAGGGGTAGAGAGATAGGAGGGACAAGCAGAGGTAAAACGACAAGGCGAGAGCGGGTAGGAGACAGGCAGACGGGGGTAGAGAGGGACCGACGACGAGAGAGAGAGAGAGAGAGAGAGAGAGAGAGAGAGAAAGGGTGGAGAGAAAGAGATAGAGAGAAGGGTGTGAACATTACAGAGAGAGGCGCCGCTAGCAACAGAACCACAAGGCCGAATAAACAGACACATAGCGAGTGAGTTATGCAAATGATGAAAGAAGAGGAATATAGGAACGAGTCCCGGTTCGCATCCTCGAGAGAGAGAGAGAGAGCGAGCGAGAGCGAGAGGCGAGAAGAGAGGAAGAAGAGAGAGAGCGGGAGAAGAGAGAGAGAGAGGAGAGAGAGAGAGAGAGAGAGAGAGAGAGAGAGAGAGAGAGAGAGCGAGAGAGAAGAGAGAGAAGAAGAGAGACGAGAGAGAGAGAGAGAGAGAGCGGAGGCTGAGAAAGAGAAAGGAAGAGAGCGAGCGACGAAAAAAAAAGAAAAACAAAAAAAAAGTAACAAAAAAAACCAAAAATAAAAACAAAAACAAAAACACAAAAATAAACAAGAGATCGAAGATAGAGAGAGAAAGAAATGTACAAGAGAAAAAGTAGAGCCTCTCTATAGATGAGAGCTATCCATAGCTCCTCCAGCCGCGCCATCTCTCGCTCTTCTCCCTATCCCCCATCTATCTCCCTCTCCTGCAAACGATCGTCGCCCTCTCCCCTATCCCTCTCTCTCTTCTCTATCCTCCCTCTCTCTCTCTCTCTCTCCTCAGAGGCGTAACAGTTTGCAGTCCGTTATGACATCAGTCCTTGCCACTTAGTGTAAAAGCCAATTAAAAGATGCTCGTTAACATGTAATGATCGCTGCTCTGCAGCTCCAAACCATGAATTAACCTTCACACACTGGGTTAACACACACACACACATTGGAGAGCAGTTAGCTCATATCTGGTTGGTTAATATGACTTCCCTTATTCTATTATATATTTGCTGTTATTATCTGTTTTTAAAACTGAAAAAATAAATACATCAAATATATAACACACACATCACTAACAAGGGACACACACACATACATAAACTCTTACCCTGTAGTTGGAGTGGGCCCTATTGTTGGTGAACTGGCCCATAGGTGTGTGTTCGGTGCGGCCAGGAGAGTACATGCCCTCAGAGGCTCCCGTAGGCACATGGTGGAAGAGGAACCAGAAACCTGTCTCCTTGAAGGACACACACACACACACAGTATGTTAACAACAAACACATGCAAGCATTAACACACACACACACACACACCATACTATACATACCATATTACTATACAGTCATTCATTAGACTGGACATTGGGGTAATGAGGCCTACATACATATTATACACCTGAAGACACGTACAGATAGAAAGAGCGAGGGAGAGAGAGAGAGAGAGAGAGAGAAAGCGAGAGAGAGAGAGAGAGAGAAAGCAAGCGAGGGAGAATGGGAGAGAGAGAGACTTACCTCTGAGCCTGCTGCTGCACAGTTGATGAGGTTGTTATTGGGGTTGGCAATCCAAAAGGTGGACGTAGCACTGGAAGAGACAAAGAAAGACAGAGGGAGGGAAAGAGAGAGAGAACGTGAGAGAGAGTAGGGAGAGAAAACAAGAGTTGTTGATTATCCCAGTGTCCTACTCCTTGCTTCAGGCAGCACCTGTCATGCTCTGTCACACACAGAGACAGACAGACAGACAGACAGACAGACAGACAGACAGACAGACAGACAGACAGACAGACAGACAGACCCACACCATTAACAAAGGGTCGTCACTGCCTTTCAAAAACATGAAAGCAAATCAGGTAGTCGGTAATCAAGGTCTCTACTAGCCATAATCACGGTCTACTCTATAATCAACACCACAGAAAACGAGGGACAGGCGAGAGAGAGAGAGAGAGAGAGAGAGACGAGAGAGGAGAGAGGACGGAGAGAGAGGACGAGGAGAGGAGGGAGAGAGAGAGAGAGAGAGAGAGGTAAAGAAAGAGAGAAAAAGAGAAAGAAAGACAACAACAACACAATTAGACCCAACCAAATCATGAGAAAACAAAAAGAGAATTACTTGACATGTTGAAAAAAAACAGAGCAAACTAGAATGCTATTTGGCTCTAAACAGAGAGTACACAGTGGCAGAATACCTGACCACTGTGACTGACCCAAACTTAAGGAAAGCTTTGACTATGTACAGACTATGTACAGCTATTGAGAAAGGCCGCCGTAGGCAGACCTGGCTCTCAAGAGAAGACAGGCTATGTGCACACTGCCCACAAAATGAGGTGGAAACTGAGCTGTACTTCCTAACCTCCTGCCAAATGTATGACCATATTAGAGACACATATTTCCCTCAGATTACAGAGATCCACAAAGAATTCGAAAACAAACCCAATTTTGATAAACTCCCTTATCTTTGGGTGAAAAACCACAGTGTGCCATCACAGCAGCAAGATTTGTGACCTGTTGCCACAAGAAAAGGGCAACCAGTGAAGAACAAACACCATTGTAAATACAACCCATATTTATGTTTATTTTTTTACCCATTTGTACTTTAACTATTTGCACATTGTTACAACACTGTATATATACATAATATGACATTTGAAATGTCTTTATTCTTTTGGAACTTCTGAGTGTAATGTTTACTGTTAATATTTATTGTTTATTTCACTTTTGTTTACTATCTACTTCACTTGCTTTGGCAATGTTAACATACGTTTCCCATGCCAACAAAGCCCTTAAATTGAAAATTGAATTGAGAGAGAGAGAGAGAGAGAGAGAGAGAGAGAGAGAGGCGGTGATGAAATTTGTTGAGCTTGGGGTATTTCAAAATACACGAAGGATAGAGTGCGAAATGGAGTGAAAGACACCATAGAAATAAAGTGAATACTGTAACTGATTAATGAAAAGCTTTAAGTTGAGCTTTTAGGATTGGGATATGCTGTCTGATTTTGTTCAGTGAAAATTCACATTACTGAAGAATCATGCATTTGCGAAGGTCTAAACTGTCAGACGATGACAAATTGGGTTTTCCAGTTTGTTGCAGATTCACAATTTCTTGTATGTATACTTCTAGCGCTGTTGCTTTTTAACCAGACGTCAGGAATTTCCTTTAAAAGAAAAATACATTTGGAGAAATGGAACGATACTGAGCAGCAGGACCAATAAAAACACTTTGAAATCTGACGTTTGGAGCAACTTCAACATTTGACATTTGGAGAACGGGAATGAACGTGGAATTCTGCAGTGAGACCGTGAGAGCTTGCGGTTTTTAACTGGTATCAATAAAAATATAGAAACACTAATTGAATGTACCAATTCATAAAGACTGAAAGGAACTATTATATGACAGTGGCAGTGTACACTATATGTGGCTACACTATGTACTGTACACTATGGCTGTCTCCTATAACTGTTCACATATAGGACATGACACACATATTCCCCAAGAACACCTGGAGGCACAAACACACTAATGTTATGGCAGCTAGACATCACACACTGACAACAGATACTGACGTTTGGCATTCATGATCACTGGGAATGGGGGTTGGTGTGTGTGTGTGTGTGAGTGTGTGTGTGTGTGGGTGGGTGTGTGTGTATGTGTGTATATACAGTATAGGGATCAATTAATTAAGAGATGCATAGTTCCATGTGGTTTGAAGCAGAACCCAATACCATGGACAATGTTAGCGGTCTGTTAGCAGACAGGGCAATATGTTAGCTGTCTATCAGCGGACAGGGTAATATGTTAGCTGTCTGTCAGCGGACAGGGCAATATGTTAGCTGTCTGTCAGCGGACAGGGTAATATGTTAGCTGTCTGTCAGCGGACAGGGCAATATGTTAGCTTTCTGTCAGCGGACAGGGTAATATGTTAGCTGTCTGTCAGGGGACAGGGGAATATGTTAGCTGTCTGTCAGCGGACAGGGGAATATATTAGCTGTCTGTCAGGGGACAGGGGAATATATTAGCTGTCTGTCAGCGGACAGGGCAATATGTTAGCTGTCTGTCAGGGGACAGGGGAATATGTTAGCTGTCTGTCATCGGACAGGGCAATATGTTAGCTGTCTGTCAGGGGACAGGGTAATATGTTACCTGTCTGTCAGCGGACAGGGGAATGTGTTAGCTGTCTGTCAGCGGACAGGGGAATATGTTAGCTGTCTGTCAGCGGACAGGGCAATATGTTAGCTTTCTGTCAGGGGACAGGGTAATATGTTAGCTGTCTGTCAGCGGACAGGGGAATATATTAGCTGTCTGTCAGCGGACAGGGGAATATGTTAGCTGTCTGTCAGCGGACAGGGCAATATGTTAGCTTTCTGTCAGGGGACAGGGTAATATGTTAGCTGTCTGTCAGCGGACAGGGTAATATGTTAGCTGTCTGTCAGCGGACAGGGTAATATGTTACCTGTCTGTCAGCGGACAGGGGAATATGTTAGCTGTCTGTCAGCGGACAGGGGAATATATTAGCTGTCTGTCAGCGGACAGGGGAATATGTTAGCTGTCTGTCAGGGGACAGGGGAATATGTTAGCTTCCTGTCAGCGGACAGGGCAATATGTTAGCTTTCTGTCAGGGGACAGGGTAATATGTTACCTGTCTGTCAGCGGACAGGGGAATATGTTAGCTGTCTGTCAGCGGACAGGGGAATATATTAGCTGTCTGTCAGCGGACAGGGGAATATGTTAGCTGTCTGTCAGCGGACAGGGTAATATGTTAGCTGCCTGTCAGCGGACAGGGCAATATGTTAGCTTTCTGTCAGGGGACAGGGTAATATGTTCCCTGTCTGTCAGCGGACAGGGGAATATGTTAGCTGCCTGTCAGCGGACAGGGCAATATGTTAGCTGTCTGTCAGCGGACAGGGGAATATGTTAGCTGCCTGTCAGCGGACAGGGCAATATGTTAGCTGCCTGTCAGCGGACAGGGGAATATGCACAGCAGAGTACACAAAACACACCGTCTGTGTGTGCGTCCATTAGGTGTGTGTGTGTGGTTGTGTGCGTCCATTAGGTGTGTGTGTGTGTGGTTGTGTGCGTCCATTAGGTGTGTGTGTGTGGTTGTGTGCGTCCATGCAGTGTGTTTATTAGTGTGTGTGATTACTCCTCCTTTTGCTGCTCTAACATGTACAGTACATATTGAAAAAGTCATTTCAGCTATCTGCCTCTCTCTCTCTGTGTGTGTGTGTGTGTGTGTGGTGTGTGTGTGTGTGTGTGTGTGTGTGTGTATTCCTGTGTGCGGGGGTGGATAAGCAGCTTTGGGTAATGAGTGAGAATTGTCACAGCAGTGTAGAATTGACTCACGCTGGTTAGCAATCACATCCAACAAGTCTACTCTGCGCCGCCAGCGCATCAGCTCTCGCGCTCTGCTCCTCACTCGCAAAGGCGGTCTCCACTCCAAATACCTCGCCTCCTCCATCATCCACGCGTCACGCCGCGCTCCTCCCTCCATCCATCCCCGCGCGCCCCACATCCGCGCGCGCTCCCAGCGCCCCCAGCCAGCCCGCGGCGCGCCGCCCACCAGCGCAGCCCGCGGGCGCGCACCGCCGCGCGCGCCGCGCGCACAGCCCGGCGCCGCCCGCCAGCGCGCGCCGCAAGCGCGCCACCCTCCGCCGCACGCCAGCCACGCGCCCTCCGCCGCGCGCTCGCGCCAGCCAGCCCGCGCCGCCGCGCGCGAGCCCGCCAGCCCGCGCGCACCGCCAGCGCGCGCGCGCACCGCACCAGCCGCGCGCCAGCGCGCAGCCCGCCAGCGCGGAGCGCACAGCCGCGCGCGCGCCGCCAGCGCGCGCCGCACCGCGCGCGCCGCGAGCCAGGCACCGCCAGCCGCGCGCGCGCACCGCCAGCAGCGCGCACACGCCAGCCCGCGCGCGCACCGCCAGGCGCGCGCACCGCCAGCGCGCGCGCGCACGCCAGCGCAAGCGCAGCGCCACGCCAGAGCACGCGCGCGCGCACGCACGCGCGCGGCAACGCCAGCGCCAGCGCGCACCGCCATGCCGCGCGCTCAACCTCGCCAGCCCGATCGCACCGCCAGCCTCGCTGCGCGCAAGCCAGCGCGCGCCGCCAGCACAGTCACTGCCTCGCGTCGATGCTTCGCTGTCTACCCTCATGCCTTCTCGCGCGGCATGCCGCCAGCCCCCGTGACAACCCCATCCTCCGAATATCGCACCGTCTCACGGCTACTGCTTCAGGGTCACGCCAGATTGGGAAAGTACAGCCTTCTCAGCTAATATACGCACGTGCACACACACACACACACACACACAACACCACACACACACACACACCACACACAACACACACAACACACACACACACACACACACACACACACACACACACACACAACACACACACACACACACACACACACACACACACACACACACCTTGCATGTACTTGAATGTGAATGTAATCCTCTAGATGCCAGGGAGAATGAATGGAAGTGAAAAACAATTTGATGCACAGAGGCTCCGGGTGGGGTGGTGCGTTAAGTGCAGGTGTTATGTGCCTTTTAAAATGTTCATCTGAGTGTGTGTGTGTGTGTGCGTGTGTGTGTGCGTGCGTGCGTGTGTGTGTGTGTAGTGAATGCATATATTACTGTGAGAAGTGCAGTGAATGCATATATTACTCTGTAATTTAAACATCTGTGTGGAACTCTTATTCTTTACGAGGCACACAAATCTGTGCTAATGCACAAACTCACACACACACACACACACACACACACACACAGAGGGTTGGACCCAAAGGGCAGACGTCTATAAATGAAGTAGTCAAGTCCATAGTTCATCAACACATAGGGTCAACGTAACAGCCCTAGTCTCACATATCTGTTTTAGTAGATATTCTCTAGTTGTTTGTTGCTTTATTCCTCTCAGCATTTTAATTTAATACTCATTATGTGCTATGAGAAGGGAGAAGAGAGGAGAGGAGGAGTCTGGCGATAGAGAGAGGGGAGAGGAGAGATGGCAGGAGAGGGTGAATACAGTAGAGCAAGAATAGGGGAGTAAGGTGGGGAGAGGGGTGAGAGAGTAGAGAGAAGAAGTGGGGGAAGAGGATAGATAGAAAGAGAGAGAGGGGGGAGGAGATGTGGGGGAAGAGGAAAGATAGAAAGAGAGAGAGGGGGAGGAGATGTGGGGGAAGAGGATAGATAGAAAGAGAGAGAGGGGGGAGGAGATGTGGGGGAAGAGGATAGATAGAAAGAGAGAGAGGGGGGAGGAGATGTGGGGGAAGAGGGGAATCTGCAAAACTTTACTGAGGAAAAGTAATTCTGTCACCTCATAATTCTAGGTGGGTGACATTCAATAGCGTATATAAACCCTGGATAGCTGACGCTGTGTCTTGGCCAATAAGAGCCTTTGAAGCCACCTTATACCCAACTTGTCATCAATGCCACGATGTGCAACATATGTATGCAGCCAAAACCAATTAAAGGGATGTGGGAAGACATTTCATCTGTAAGTATTGAAATTATTAGTAGAAAATGTACTTTCTGGTCTATTTTGTGAGACAAACTGCTCAGCTTTTGGTACGGTGTAACCATAGCAACACATGTAAATGTCAATGCATGCTAGATATCTTACAAAACGATAACCCATTGTTGATGTTATTAAGCATGGATGAAGTGGTGGTACACGTGTACAGTTTAACTGCTGTTCTTATAGATTTTCTAATAGTCCTTTTACAACTGTTGAACAAATATTGTGCATTGACAGTGAATGTAGTTAACGTTAGCAGAGCCTAGTGCTACATGACATGATCTATACAAATAGGCCACCAGTTTTTTACAGTCTATGAGTGAACCAGTTCCAGTTGATTGTACTAAGAGTCATTTGTTGATCTTGACTCTATTGCAATTTATTTTTACTGGCTTCACTTTACATCAGATTGATCTTAAATTTGTCAGCAATATTGAAAACATATTATTAAGGGATCAAGCATTAACTTCTCCAGCCTGATATTCTAGTAATCAATATTGTGTTGCTTTGTAGTGTAGAGAGGTGAGCAACATGTTTTCATTCCAACAGCTACAGGCTTTGGAAGATAAATATGTTTTATTTTTCATTACAGACACTGTAATATATACTTTTTTAAACAATACATAGTATTGTATGAACTGAACAGAAAGCAATTATTTCTCAATAAAAATGGAAGATATATATATATTTTTAATGACATTTCCCCACTACAACAAATAAATACTTAGAGAGGAGAGGATGGGAGAGGAGAGGAGGGGAGAGGAGAGGATGGGGGAGGAGATGAGGGGAGAGGACGGGAGAGGAGGGGAGAGGAGAGGAGGGGAGGGGAGAGGAGGCAGGGAGGGGAGGGGAGAGGAATGGAGAGGAGGGGAGAAGTGGGGAGGGGTGGGGAGAGGAGAGGAGGCGAGAGGAGGGGCGAGGTGGGGAGAGGAGGGTGAGAATAGGGGAGGGGTGGGGAGAGGAGAAAGAGGAGGGGAAAGGAGGGGAGAAGAGGGGAGAGGAGGGGAGAGGTGGGGAGAGGTGGAGAGAGGAGGGGAGAGGAATGGAGAGGAGAGGCAAGGTACACATACTCTAACGTGACCTTCTCTCATGGCTTTGCAGTATCAATGTCTCCACCTGTCTGCTTATCAGTGACGTGTCTAGCTTTTCAATTGTTTCTATGAATTGTAATGTAAGGCAAATTCCTGGACTTCATCCCAAATGGCACCCTATTCACTACATAGTGCACTACTTTTGACCCTGCAGGGCCCATAGGACCATGGTCAAAAGTAGTGCACTGTGTAGGGAATAGGATGCCATTTGGGATGCAGCCCTAGTAACCGACAACTAGAGAAAGCTCAGATTTGAATACTCTAATTAATGTGGGACCCAGACTTTTAGCCAAACTTCTAGCCTTAGAATCACAACTTGAAAAGGGAATGGAGAACATGTGTAGAGAATGAGACAGCCAGGTTATAAGCTGTGTGTGTGTGTGTGTGTGTGTGTGTGTGTGTGTGTGTGTGTGTGTGTGTGTGTGTGTGTGTGTGTGTGTGTGTGTGTGTGTGTGATTTAAGGTAAGATAAGGTAAAGCTCAGTCTTATTCCAGTGATGTATCTTCTGATTGAGCGTGTCTCTTATGCATTAAACATACTCTGTCTCTCTAACACCAGACATAGCAGGTTACCAAGGTGACAGCAATATCAGTTCAGAGGACACTCATTTTATACGGACATGCCAAAGAGGTGTGTGTGTGTACATGTATCTACCTATGGCTATGTCTGTATGTATCCATCTTACACACTCTCACACGTGTGTGTATCTATATGTGTAGAGGTGAAGTTAGCCCTAGACGCTGATCTTGGATCAGTTTTGCATCTTCCCCACTAATGGTTAAGGTTAGGATTGTGTGAGCGGAAACTGATCCTAGATCTGTACCTAGGGGACACTTCTATTGATTTATATATCTCCTCTACCTGCAGTCTTGTCGTGGGTTGGCCACATATCCGGGGAAGGCTCCCTGTGTGATATCGCGACACATCTTGCTGTCCCTGTCGGAGGGCAGCAGGGTACCAGCTCTGATCATCAGCCCCAGGCAGTGGTCAAACGTGTTCCTCTCCTCAGGACCGTCCTCAGTGAAGAAACAGTGGCCCAGAGCATCGTAACCCACCACGTCCTTTACCTAGGTAGGACAGAGAGAGAGAGAGAGAGAGAGAGAGAGAGAGAGAGAGAGAGAGGAGAGAGAGAGAGAGAGAGAGGGGGGGGGGGGGGGGGGGGGGGGGTAGACACACACACACCATGGTTGGGGTCAATCCCATTTAAATTCCAGTCAATTCAAATGCGCTGAATTTCCAATTCCAATACCTTCAATGCTTGTCAATGAGGAACATCTGGAATTGGAATTTGGTTTAGTCCTACTTTCTGAATTGACCCCAACCCTGACAAACCATGCACACATTTACTTTGAATGGCACATATGCATGTCTGAAGGAAGTGGTTTTCCCACCTTGTCTCTTCTCTGTCATCTGCACTGGGCTGAAAACCCAGACTCATCAGATGGTGTGATCCATATCATTCCACTGAGCTAAACCCTTTAAAGAAAGATATTACTCTGCCTGCCACACTAGCTTGCTCACCTCTTCTTTGCGGTTGGTTTGGGGAAGTCTCCTCATGTGAGAACAGTTCACCAAACTACCTCTGCTAACACAAGACCGTATTAGCCTGCTGAGCTAAATCCTGGGGAATATATGTTTACATCTGATGAAGGAGAGGAGACTAGGGCCTGAGTCTCAAACGTCACCTTATTCTCTATATAGAGCATTATCTTTTACCAGGGCCTCTAGAGACCAGGGCCCCTAGAGACCAGGGCCCATTGAGACCAGGGCCCCTATTCCACTATATAGGGAATAGAATAGGGTACTAAAGGGACCAGGGCCCCTATTCCACTATATAGGGAATAGAATGGGGTACTAAAGGGACCAGGGACCCTATTCCACTATAAAGGGAATAGAATGGGGTACTAAAGGGACCAGGGCCCCTATTCCACTATATAGGGAATATAATAGGGTACTAAAGGGACCAGGGCCCCTATTCCACTATATAGGGAATATAATGGGGTACTAAAGGGACCAGGGCCCCTATTCCACTATATAGGGAATATAATAGGGTACTAAAGGGACCAGGGCCCCTATTCCACTATATAGGGAATAGAATAGGGTACTAAAGGGACCAGGGCCCCTATTCCACTATATAGGGAACATAATAGGGTACTAAAGGGACCAGGGCCCCTATTCCACTATATAGGGAATAGAATAGGGTACTAAAGGGACCAGGGCCCCTATTCCACTATATAGGGAATATAATAGGGTACTAAAGGGACCAGGGCCCCTATTCCACTATATAGGGAATATAATAGGGTACTAAAGGGACCAGGGCCCCTATTCCACTATACAGGGAATAGAATAGGGTACTAAAGGGACCAGGGCCCCTATTCCACTATAAAGGGAATAGAATAGGGTACTAGAGGGACCAGGGCCCCTATTCCACTATACAGGGAATAGAATAGGGTACTAAAGGGACCAGGGCCCCTATTCCACTATATAGGGAATAGAATAGGGTACTAAAGGGACCAGGGCCCCTATTCCACTATAAAGGGAATAGAATGGGGTACTAAAGGGACCAGGGCCCCTATTCCACTATAAAGGGAATAGAATGGGGTACTAAAGGGACCAGGGCCCCTATTCCACTATAAAGGGAACATAATAGGGTACTAAAGGGACCAGGGCCCCTAGTCCACCATATAGGGAATAGAATGGGGTACTAAAGGGACCAGGGCCCCTATTCCACTATATAGGGAATATAATAGGGTACTAAAGGGACCAGGGACCCTATTCCCCTATATAGGGAATATAATAGGGTACTAAAGGGACCAGGGCCCCTATTCCACTATAAAGGGAATAGAATGGGGTACTAAAGGGACCAGGGACCCTATTCCACTATAAAGGGAATAGAATAGGGTACTAAAGGGACCAGGGCCCCTATTCCACTATAAAGGGAACATAATAGGGTACTAAAGGGACCAGGGCCCCTATTCCACTATATAGGGAATAGAATGGGGTACTAAAGGGACCAGGGCCCCTATTCCACTATATAGGGAATAGAATAGGGTACTAAAGGGACCAGGGCCCCTATTCCACTATATAGGGAATAGAATAGGGTACTAAAGGGACCAGGGCCCCTATTCCACTATAAAGGGAATAGAATAGGGTACTAAAGGGACCAGGGCCCCTATTCCACTATATAGGGAACATAATAGGGTACTAAAGGGACCAGGGCCCCTGTTCCACTATAAAGGGAACAGAATAGGGTACTAAAGGGACCAGGGCCCCTATTCCACTATATAGGGAATAGAATAGGGTACTAATTGGGATGCAGCTGAAGCAGAGAGATAACATCTCAGAGAATTCAGTATCTCACCATCTATCTTCCATTTCCTTCCAACGCCTGAAATGTAAACAGGACACAATTGTGTTCTATCCAGTTTGTACCCAATTTTCAGGAGCCTTGGTTTAGACACACCATGTTGGGTAGCAACAGGACATCTCCTCGTTATGGCAACGGATGGATTCTCTGATTGCCGTGGCAACACAACAGGACACCTTTAACAACCCTCCACCACATACGCACGGGCATGAGGATGGGCTAAGAGCTTGCATGAGCGTGCACACACACACACCCAATCCCACCTGTTCTCATATCATTTTATGATATTTCTATTTAGTTGCTCTGTCTATGACCCTGTAACGTCCACAGTTAATAATGTCCCTGGGTTCACAACAGCAATTAGCAACATGCATAATCATGAATATGATTATTATCATCATCATTATCATTCTGTTGGTGGCTCGGCTTTCCTGAAACTCTTATAAGGTTGAAAAATTCCAGCAACTTTCCCAAAAGTCCCAGCTTTTCTAGAAGCCCTGGTTCAAAGATTCCCGGAATCAGGATTTCTGAAAAATCTGGGATTCTGGGAAAGTTACCCGAATTTTGCAACCCTAGATGTGGAGCCTCATAATGTCTCTCGACAACTCCGCTACACAGCCGTTAGAGAGTACCGGTAATAAAAGGGATGTGTTTGACTGTACTTTTTCTGTGCCTGCGTGAATGGAAGAATCCTGTCAAGTGAGGTTCAAAAATATTTCTGTGAATGTGCTAACCGTACTGATTCAGTTAACTTATTTTAAATCTGGGATTCGAAAAACAGCAAAGCTGGCACCCCGCCACTCGTTTGGTATACAGCTTATATTTGGGGTTCTGCAGGGGTAAGACAGTTGATCTACCTCATTAGGCATATCATTAATTGAAAAGTCCAAACATCGATGTACTGATCCCAGATTGCCCCTTTAACATTTTTTTTTATGGAGTCACTATAGACGTAGATAGGATATGCCATGTGAATTCCCCCACACATGGTTCAGTCCAGTGTCTGTCTCTCCTGGAGCTTCTGGTTAACACATGTTCTGGTCTTGCTAAGCACGCTGAGATAACATAAGACCTCTTTAACCACACACACACACACACACACAGACACACACACACACACAGACGGTGTGAGAGGTGGTCTGACAGATGGTGGAGAGGCTGGGCGAAGGCGGGAGTCGTCGTGACAACTGAACGGCCGACCAGCAGCACTTTTATACTCTCAAATGTATGGTACCACATGGCAAAGTGTGTGCATGCATGTAACTCACCAGTAGGCCGTTAGAGCCATGCACAGTGACACAGCGGGAGAAGGTGTGGTGGATGGACAGATCGCTAATGGAGGTGGGGGGATCGTAGCCTCCCTTCTGGTCCACGTCTCCGTTCATATGGAAGTGGACAGGGTAGTGACCCACAGACTGTTGACCCATGTGCTGCAGCTCTACACCGGACACCTGCACCGACCTAAAGCCACGCTCCACCTGGGAGGGAGAGATATGGGGAGAGGGGGAGGGAGAGAGAGACAGGTTAGAGGAGTGGCGGCCCAATCACTTTATGTGTGTAGGAGGTAGAGACGTTATATGAGTTAGAGAATGAGACAGTTATATGAGGCCGTTAAGAGTGAACTGTTAGACAGTTAGGAATGTCGGAAGTTAGAGAGTGAGCCTGTTAGAGAGACTGTTAGAGAGTGAGACTGTTAGAGAGTGAGACTGTTAGGGGAGTGAGACTGTTAGAGAGTGAGGGATGTTAGAGAGTGAGACTGTTAGAGTGAGACTGTTAGAGAGTGAGACTGTTAGAGAGTGAGACTGTTAGAGAGTGAGACTGTTAGAGAGTGAGACTGTTAGAGAGTGAGCCTGTTAGAGAGTGAGACTGTTAGAGAGTGAGACTGTTAGAGAGTGAGACTGTTAGAGAGTGAGACTGTTAGAGAGTGAGACTGTTAGAGAGTGAGCCTGTTAGAGAGTGAGACTGTTAGAGAGTGAGACTGTTAGAGAGTGAGACTGTTAGAGTGAGACTGTTAGAGAGTGAGACTGTTAGAGTGAGACTGTTAGAGAGTGAGACTGTTAGAGTGAGACTGTTAGAGAGTGAGACTGTTAGAGTGAGACTGTTAGAGTGAGACTGTTAGAGTGAGACTGTTAGAGTGAGACTGTTAGAGAGAGACTGTTAGAGAGTGAGACTGTTAGAGTGAGACTGTTAGAGAGTGAGACTGTTAGAGTGAGACTGTTAGAGAGTGAGACTGTTAGAGTGAGACTGTTAGAGTGAGACTGTTAGAGTGAGACTGTTAGAGTGAGACTGTTAGAGAGTGAGACTGTTAGAGAGTGAGACTGTTAGAGTGAGACTGTTAGAGAGTGAGACTGTTAGAGAGTGAGACTGTTAGAGTGAGACTGTTAGAGAGTGAGACTGTTAGAGTGAGACTGTTAGAGAGTGAGACTGTTAGAGAGTGAGACTGTTAGAGAGTGAGACTGTTAGAGTGAGACTGTTAGAGAGTGAGACTGTTAGAGTGAGACTGTTAGAGAGTGAGACTGTTAGAGTGAGACTGTTAGAGAGTGAGACTGTTAGAGCGTGAGACAGAGAGTGAGACAGGGCGAGAGAGAAAGACAGGAGAAAGTGTGAGAGAACATTTGAATGTGAAAGAGTGAGAGATTGATAAAAAGATAGTAAGACTTTCCATGCATGAGAATAGGATTTCTGTATCCAGCTAAGGTGTGTGTGTCTACGTGTATCTATTCATGTGTGAGAGTATTGGGGACTGACACGTCAATGTATGAGATATGTCCCTCTGGCTCCACCAGAGGAATACTCTCTCTCTCTCTCTCTCTCTCTCTCTTAATATTTCCGTACAGGCCAAGATGTCTCCAATCTGACCCAGATTATTTTCCCCCCATAATTCTTCATTAAAATGTGGTTGACTAGAATGTAATGGGAAGAATTTGCAGGCAGTGAAGATGGATGTGGCTCCATTTTATACTGGCTGTGGTTCTTCTCCTGGGCTGCGTCCCAAATGAGAGCCTTGCATTTCCTGCTCAAAAGTATTATAGGCTGCCATTTGGGGACGCAGCCCAGGTCTTAGCTTATGACTGACAGCTTCAATAAACAGCTGTCTATTGAACAGGATGCAATCCAACTCATTCTAAAGACTATGCCAGTGTGCCATTGTGTGTGTGTGTGTGTGTATCTCCCTCCTAGGTTGCCCTTCACACATTGTTTCTGTGCTGTAAATAAAAAATGTGGCCTCATTTAGACGGAACTCAATCAAAAGAGCTTCCAAGAAACGTTTACTCATTTGAAATGTTCTGCCAAACCTAATTACAGTAATGTCAAATATAACATAATACAAGAAATTCGCCCAATGTGACACTCCCTGTCAGCAAAGTGACAATTGTTTATTTGTGTAAACATTATCCTGCCTGCTTCCTTAAATCAGGATTGGTATTTGGTATTAATATTCTCCATAGCTGTTATGGTGCTCTGTGTGTGGTGTGTGTGTGTTTTCCTGCCTGTCCGTCTGTCCATCTGTCATAGAATCACACTGGCCTAATGATAGCCGAAATACCACTGTCATAACGATGATATTACAGATGTCATTGACAGTCATGACAGCCTGCGTCACCATATGTCATCTGATGACATCATTACTGTAATAGTCTAGTTGGCTGGCGTGTGTGACAGTCTCAGCTCTCTCTGTCCTAACTGTGCTCCCCAGAGCCTGGGCGTCTAGCCATGCTAGAAGGAGACGGAAGGGTGGTGCTTTATAACTCAACATCTAACCAAACTCTATAATCTTTACCCTTACCCTCACCTAACATGTAAGGACAATAGATGAGATCGGTTTCTTAATGTAAATTTTATGTTAACTGTATAGCCCAAAACAAAAGTCCATTTCTTCTGGTGAAGGCCACAAGAAGTACAAAGGGTAGACAAACAGAACAGAAAGACATGATCAGGGCTGTAAAACTCCGGTAACCTTCCCAGACTCAAGTCCTTTCATGCGGTCAAATGACCTAAAGGCCTCATGGGTGGAACGTTACTAATATTTTTCATAATTAATAAACCTTATTTCAAAAACCCGCCGAAAATCCAGTGTTTCTATGTGAAACGGTTTTGTTATATTTCAGTCTTCTGTGATGTATATAAAGTGTAATATTGGGATGCAAACTCAAAATGTTATACATTTCAACTCTATATCTGACATGGTACAGGTGTCTTCTTTTTCTTAAGCCCATAACCATGTGTACACTTTTGTTTCAAAGTAGATTTGTTTAAGACTACCAAGAAACACTCTGTGTGACCCTGTTTCAGCCCACTGCAGTAAAAGGTTAAGGAAGTGAAGTTACCGGGATTGTCCAGCCCTTCACATGATATCTACAAGTTTGGATCAGTGGAAAGATGAATAAAAGATGAAAGTAGATGGAAGGATAAAGAGAAGATGTAGGGGTGTATGGAAGGATGAAGAGAGGATGAATAAAGTAAAGGTGTAGATAGAGGGATGAAGAGATAGATTGGAGGGGTGGATAGGCGAACAATTAATGCCATGTTAATTAAATTACCTTCACGTGTCCTCCGAAAGTGTCGAAGGCGAAGAACTTGCAGGCCTCGTTGCCATAGCAAACAGGTTCCATCTCGCCGCGTACCAGGATGTTGCGACTCAGCAGGCCGACCTCTGCCCTCATGTCCACCCCATCCACCTCCTCACCCATGTGGAGGAACACTGGCTTACCTACACATACACACACATAAAGAATTAGAACATACCTGGCAGCACACACACACACACACACACACACACACAAAGAGTTAGAACACACCTGGCAACACACACACAGACATACGAATGCACACAGACACCAGGGTTTCCATTAGCTGGTCATTTCCGGCTTTTGGCCAATAAATAAATGAAAAGCCGATAAATAAAATTGAAGCCAGCCAAATTGTCCGGGGTTGGACTGCTGTTGAGTGGAGAGCGAGAGAGGAGCCTTGGCTACTGTTGATTGTCAAGATAGAGACCTTTTTTCATTGAAGAAAAATTAGAGCGTAGTGAAAAGCCTACATGGCGGGGCTCCAGACTGCGACCATTTAGTCTTGCTGGGCGAGTTAAAACATGTATTGGTCGCATCTGTGCAAGCTGCACATTCATTCACCTCACTCAAAACGTCCTAGTTTTTATGAGGCTAAAACCATGATTTGGTCAAACAGTAAATTACATTATCCTCATGATTCCTGTAATGAAAATGTCTGCCTACCTGCCCCTGTACCTGTTTCGCTGGGGCCTGCTGCTGTGTCGAGAGAGGCACTCTCCCTCTCCTTTCCCGCGGGGAAAAATGCTCCAGGTGAAAGAAAAGTGTCCTGATTGTATAACACTTTTAAATCCAATTGTGGGCAAAGCACAGCTATCCTGGTGTCACAAGTGGAGAATGTGCTCAGTTTTCTGTAGATTTCTTTGAGCTCAAAAGCAACTATTTTCCAAGCAAGATATTTGATATGGCTTTGAGATGTGGAGCGCACAAAATTCTTATTGGCCATTGCGAGTGCATAGGCCTACAACTGCAATGTTTTTTTTTTTTACATTAAATGTACTGTTAGATGAATACATGGCTACTAGCAGTGGGTATTATCTGTAGAGCTAGTGATCTAGCTAATGTGTTTTGTTTTTCCACTTACACAGGTGGTGAATTAGCCCCAAATAAATTAGGCTATGATATTAGAGCATTGAAAAATTAAAATCAGAAAACTCTAGAGCCCTATTTTAACAGTAAAATATAACAATAGCATAAATGTCTACCCAAAATGCATGACAATCACTGGATTAGGTTGCTCATTAAAATATGTTTTATCACAACATGAAAAGATGATGAAACAACTTATTTCTTCAATACCACCTCAGTAGTCTAATACACTTTCTAATAAAGCACTATGAATTTTATAAGATGATCGGCCTACACATTTTTTTTATATTGCGACCAAATCATGGACTTGTGCCTCCAACTGAAAAACATAGTGGCACAAGTGCCACCAGGGGAAAATGTTAGTCTGGAGCCCTGCTACAACATTTAGTTTAAGATAGGTTATAAGTACAGTAGGTCTGTTGTAAAATAAATACCATTATCCTATTGCTGTCATTTCTTGGGTACAGTAGGTACTAGTCTTTCTTGGTAATTGCTGCAATAACATGTAGTAGACTGTTGAAAACGTTTGTGAAGGGGGTCCTCTGTAGCTCAGCTGGTAGAGCATGGCGCTTGTAACGCCAGGGTAGTGGGTTTGATCCCCGGGACCACCCATACGTAAAAATGTATGCACACATGACTGTAAGTCGCTTTGGATAAAAGCGTCTGCTAAATGGCATATTATTATTATTAAGGTTTAAACCAGTTCGCAAGTGTTTTGTTTCATTCTGTTGAGTCATTTTATTTGGACAAATTAAGTTCCAACTTGAATGTTGTGTTTGCCGCAGGATAATATCCTGCTCGTATTTTCCCTATAAACAATGGCTTGAGAAGGTTGTGTGGTCTGGTTATTAGCCTATTATACTGTTATATGAAGGCTGTGTGCACCAGCTCTCCAACTGGCTCCAACAGTTGAACTTGAGGTGAGGAAGAATATTTCAGGCCTACCAGAGTTAGTTACTCCTATAATCTAACAATATAATGCTTATCTTTATACAAAATATTCGGATCGAAAATTAACGAATTAGCCTCCTTCTGTACGCCTATATCTGTATAGCAGACGCAGTATCCATCTGACATAAAGAAATGCATGTCGGTGTCGTATAGCATGCCGCCGGCATACTGTATCTCTCTCTCTGGGGCTAGCCCTTAGCTTCTCTTCCTCTTATAGTGGACACCTAAGTCTGTAGACCTATGCATGCAATGCCCTGAAGCATTTAGTGCTCAAATCTCCGACAGCTGAGCCGTGAGGTGGACAATAATTGTTTTAGAAAAATAAAAATCAATAAAGCAATAGGCTTTAAAGTTTAGCATATTCTATGCATCCAAACACAAGGAATATTGTTTTGTAATTAGTTAGGCTGTTTTTAAGGACAATATCCCTTGTTTATTGATGGCGCTGGCTGCATGGGTGGAAGCCCTAATGGGTTACGTACCCAATGCATATGGATGACTGGTCAATTTCTCAAATGTCCGATAAATTAAAATCCTCCCTGACACAAACGTACTGTATGTATGCACACACACACACACACACACACACACACATAGAATATACACACCGGAGCACTTGCCTGGAACACATGAGAGCATCGCTCTCAGAAGGCAACCAGAGAATGTTTTTAGTGTTGTTCTTTAGAGTCAATTTACACTAGTGGGAGAAAATTGCCCTGTGATTTTAGAAGGCCTTTTAGGCTGAAAGTTGAGGGAGAGAAAATAGAGTGGGTGCTTGGGTGTGTGTGTGTGTGTGTGTGTGTGTGTGTGTGTGTGTGTGTATAGAGAGATCACTCGCGATACAAAGCGAAATTCGACATTTGTGCAGGTCCCCAGGACGTTGGGAGACGCCATCAAAACCGGCCACTAGGGGCAAAAAACAACAGCCAGAAACGAGATTGGGATTGAACCCAGTTGTTTCTGTGTGCCTAAATTTAACACATTTGTCACAGAACGTCGTGACATGAAGTCAGACTGTGATATCTTGTGGTGTGTGTGTGTGTGTGTGTGTGTGTGTGTGTGTGTGTGTCTCTTCAGACATCTCCCTATAGTGTGAAGATGTCACCACCTCACAGCTGTCACAAGAACCCCTCTGCAGTTGGCCGCAGACGAAACACACAGAGAGAAAGGGAGATAAATGGGAAGAGACTTAATGGAGGGAGGTTGTGGAAGATTGTGATGGTGGGTGTTAAAGGTCACAGAATGAGTCTGCCAGTCCAGCTACTGTGGAGCTAGATATATGACAGATGATAACTATTAGAGCAGGGGGAGAGCGGGGGGGGGGGGAATATACACATGACGAGATGAGAGGAGAGGAAGGGAGAGAGGAAATGAGAGAGTGAGAGGAGAGGTTGAGACAAGAACGGCCCACTGTCTGTGAGACTTCTAATGATCCAAGTAGACACTAAAGAAATATTAATGAGTTCAGAACATTCACTTTCCCCAGGTTCAGTCTTCTCTCCTCACTATTGGCATCATATTACATGACTTCTTAAAAGAAGAGAAGAACACGAAAAAAGAACAAAACAAAAAGGAAGGAATCTAAAAACAGAACAGCTCTGACTCCCCGCCCACACACTAGACACGAACACAGTAATTAAAATGCCAAAGAGTTATTGAAGAAAAAATGGAATTAAATGAAACATAAGTGTAAAAGAATCAGAGACACAGGTGGTCACCCACGCATCCGAGTACAACCCTCCTTTACTGATAAAACCTTTCTGTGCACAAAGGAAATGAGTGGTTCACTTGTCAGGACTTAGTCATCAGTGCAATAAAGACTGATAGCAATCTCTCCCCCATTGTCTCTCCCCCGGCCCCCCTTCTCTCCACCCTCTTTCTCTCTTTCCACCGCTCCTGCCCCCCGTCTACCCCTCTCTCTCCCAATTGTTAATGATGCGGAGGAGACAGGAAGAGTTAGATACCTGGGTACTGTTGGTTCTGACATGGTCTGCCTTGAGGGAGCCGTTGGAAAGAATCACGGCCACCTTTCGCCATGTTACTGGCGCTCCCCTGACAACACTGACAAACTGCATCCTCCACTGATGAATGGAGAGAGTTGGAGAACATACCGTGACCCTATTAGGAATGAGAATTTGTCTGTGTGTGTTTGTGTAACTGCGTGTCTCTCTGTCTCTCTGTCTCTCTGTCTCTCTGTCTCTCTGTCTCTCTGTCTCTCTGTCTCCCTGTCTCCCTGTCTCCCTGTCTCCCTGTCTCTCTGTCTCTCTGTCTCTCTGTCTCTCTGTCTCTCGGTCTCTCGGTCTCCCTGTCTCCCTGTCTCCTGTCTCTCTGTCTCTCTGTCTCTCTGTCTCTCTGTCTCCTGTCTCTCTGTCTCTCTGCCTGTGTGAGATAATCATGGTCAAAAAATATTAAAGATTTTATTTGGATGCACACATTAATATGACTATGAACCACCGGCCAAGAAAGACATGCAGAGACACGTTATCAAGAGCTTCTAATTGTGCAGCACTGGAGGGCTACGAGCTGAATTAATTAATACATACATTAAATTAATAGGTATATCAAAGTTGAAAGGGGTTAGTGATTAAAATAGATTTAACACACACACACGTGCGCACACACACACCTAATTAATAGACCTAGAAAACAGAGGTGCAGCCCCTAGATAAACAACTCATTATTTAGGGAATTTTAAACAACATTGATGTATCTACTGTGGAAGTCTTCATCAGAGTGAACTACTTTCTGCTCTTAATGTCAAACAAACAAAAAGCATGCAAGCATCCGCACGCACGCGCACGCACACACGCACACGCACACACACACACAGGACACACACACACACACACACACACCCTCACACATCTACACACACCCACACCCTCACACACCGTCTTGCTGTAGCCTGGTTTGACCTACTAGTCTAATAACAGATATTTTCATGTTTATCCCTTTGATATTACAGTCCTCTTATCTGGTTAAGGGAGGGCCAACTGGTGGCTCGTGGCACACGGATCAATTTCCCCAAAAAGCTCAGTTAGGTTCTCAACTTAATTTTGTGTGTGTGTGTGTGGGGGGGGGGGGGGGGGGGGGCGGGGCAGCTAGGGTCGGCTCTGACTGCATGTGTGCTAGCCAATGCGGCCCCTCATGATGAGTTTAGATATTTGATCTAGATAACCATCTTCAAAAACACACTCTCACTCACTTTTCCATGCTGTTTATTCTAGCTCCATGCACATAGGCATAGACACACACACACACACACTTATGGGCCCTGGTCAAATTAGTGCACTATATAGGAAATAGTCAATTAGAGGATAGTGAATTAGAGACAAAGCCACTTGTGGCATGCTAGACATCTGAGCAAACACTCTGAACAAGTCTTGATGACAACCTTGTTTAACACAAACAAACTATACTAACACAGGAGAGGAACTCCTCAATGAAGGGCCAGTATGTTAGCCTGAGAGAGAGCGAGAGAGCGATAGATAGAGCGAGAGAGAGCGAGAGCGAGAGCGAGAGCGAGAGCGAGAGCGAGAGCGAGAGCGAGAGCGAGAGCGAGAGCGAGAGCGAGAGCGAGAGCGAGAGAGAGAGAGAGAGAGAGAGAGAGAGAGAGAGAGAGAGAGAGAGAGAGAGAGAGATAGATAGATAGATAGATAGATAGATAGATAGTTATGATAGATAGATAGATAGATAGATAGATAGATAGATAGATAGATAGATAGATAGATAGATAGATAGATGAGAGAGAGAGAGAGGAGAGAGAGACCGGAGAACAACAAACACTGAGAGAAAAAATACTGTTTGAGAGTTTGGGAGAGAGTGCAGATCTTTGTGTAGCTCTTTGTGCCAGGTCACGTGCCAGTTTTAGACGAGAGCTGGAAGAGAGAGATGGGAGAGAGAAGAGAAAAAAAAGAGAGAGAGCGATAGAGAAAAACAGTGCCTGAATACCCGTATTTGCGTTCTAAATAGTAGGCATATTAGGTATGCAAAAATGTCATGTTTTATAGTATGTGATATTTAGAAAATGGAAGGATGAGAGAGAGAGAGAGAGAGAGAGAGAGAGAGGCGAGAGAGAGAGACAGAGAGACAGAGAGAGAGAGAGAGAGAGAGAGAGAGAGAGAGAGAGAGAGAGAGAGAGAGAGAGAGAGAGAGAGAGAAAGATAAAATCCCTCAGGCTGATGAAAATCAAGGCTATGTGGATGAAAGAGCAGCACATTGTGTCCCACCTCCATCTGAGTGTTTGTGGTTAGGCTGTGTGCAAACAGAAATGTGGAAACATACCTCTGTCTCTTTGTGAGTTTAATCCCTGTGTGGTGTGTGTGTGTGTGTGGTGTGTGTGTGTGTGTGTGTGTGTGTGTGTGTGGTGTGTGTGTGTGTTGTGGTGTGTGGGAGAGAGAGAGAGAGGGAGAGGAGAGGAGAGATAGAGAAGAGAGAGAGAGAGAACATACCTCTGCTGATTTGTGTGTTTAATCTGTAACAGGTAAAGACTGAGTTGTGTTAACCGCCCCACTACGCACAGGGGAGAGAGATGAGGAAAAAGACAGAAGAAGAGAGAGAGAAATAATGCAATTATGTGCCTGGTTACCACTCCCCTGGCTTTGTCATAAATGTACATGTAAATAATAAGAGAGGAGGGTGAGCGAGTTCTGTGATTAGAGTTAGAGTTCTGTGATTATTTAACCTGTGTGTGTTTTTCTGTGTGTATGTCTGTGTGTGTGGCCTTGTCCGAATACCCGCACTTGCGGGTAAAGAGATGTAGAGACAGAGAAAGAGTGATGGAGAGCAATTACATAAGATAGAATGTGATGTGGAGAGAAAGCTCATGACTTACTATGATGCCCCAGAGGCCTTCAGAAGCCTGGGAATAGATTCATGTTCAGCCCCAGGAGGAGAGAGCCTTTCTGAGATCTTTCAGCAAATTCTCTCTCTCTCTCTCTCTCTCTCTCTCTCTCTCTCTCTCTCACACACACACTCACACACTCTCTGGTTCAGACTGCGGTCAATGAAGACTTGTTTGACTCTTGTCTCTCTGCTTGTATAATGGTGTGGCAGATGCACGCACACACACAAAGGTGGTGGGGTGGCAGAATACTTGTTTGAATTTTGTGAGTCTGTCTGGCCAAAGATGTCACTTGGTTTGGCTCCATTCACATAACAAGAAAAAAATGACTTTAGAAGGCTTTAGGGTTGTGTCCCAAATGAACCCTTATTCCCTTTATAGTGCTACTAGATCCCTGGTCAAAAGTAGTGCACTACATAGGGAACATGCTGCCATTTGGGACGCATGTTTGGAGTTGGAACACTCAAACCTTGTTAATGTGAGTGTGAGTGTGAGAAATGTAAAACACATGGTAGAATCAAACACAAACACACACACTATTATACAACTTCCACTTATGCGTTCACAAGAATCTCTCCAACAGCTATTTACAGCACATAAACAAGCTTCGCTCTGTCCGTCCCAATGAGCAGTGTGTTCTAAAACCATCACACACACACACTCAGACACTCACACACTCACTGCCCTAAAAGCACAGAGGGTCCATTCCAGAGGTATGGACAGAGAGTCCAGTGATTGTGATTTAGTAGGTCAAGCATCTGTGCTGGGAAGCAAAAATCTGGGTCAAGCACAAATATTACCAGTGCTTCATTCCCAGGCCTGTCTTCTCCCTATATAGTACACTACTTTTGACCATAGCCATATTTGCCCTAGTCAAAAGTAGTGCACTATATAGTAAATAGGGTGGCATTATGGACACGTACCCTGTCTCTCTGTCTCTCTCTCCCTCCATCATTCAACACACCAATCCATGCCAAGGCTGTGGCAGCAAGGTTGAAGGCGCTGCCACACACACACACACACTGTATTTTGTCATGTGGAGCCCAGGAACAGTTGCTGCTTCTTGGGGAACCCAATAAAAAATAAAGACACACACACAGTCTAGATTGGTGAAAGCTATGAAATGGAATCATTGTTCACACCTTAATAACTGTGCTATTTCAGTGAATACTTTAAGGAAGAAAGAAAGAAAGAAAGAAAGAAAGTAGCAGACGCTTTTATCCAAAGCGACTTACAGTCATGCGTGCATAACATTTTTACGTATGGGTGGTCCCGGGGATCGAACCCACTACCCTGGCGTTACAAGCGCCATGCTCTACCAATTGAGCTACAGAGGACCCAGCTTCCCCTCCCCCATTCCTAACCTTAACCTTTACTGGGGGAAATGCTAAACTGACCCAAGATCAGTGTATAAGGGCAACATCTCCCTACACCGAGGGGACAGTTAAGCATCCCTGACCTTGACCTTTGACTCGGTTGCTATTGCAACATACGTTAGGTCAGTCAACCTTAGACTTTTATTTTTCACAAGGAGACTTAACTTACTGATGCAAAGAACAGACATTACAGCAGCATTACATTGCATATACACACACACACACACACTCACACACAGGTACATACACACAGGTACTCTTTCCTCTGCTCTTATCCTTCTAGACCTATCCGCTGCCTTTGATACTGTGAACCATCAGATCCTCCTCTCCACCCTCTCCGAGTTGGGCATCTCCGGCGCTGCTCACTCTTGGATTGCGTCCTACCTGACAGGTCGCTCCTACCAGGTGGCATGCGAGAATCTGTCTCCGCACCACGTGCTCTCACCACTGGTGTCCCCCAGGGCTCAGTTCTAGGCCCTCTCCTATTCTCTCTATACACCAAGTCACTTGGCTCTGTCATATCCTCACATGGTCTCTCCTATCATTGCTACGCAGATGACACACAATTCATTTTCTCCTTTCCCCCTTCTGATAACCAGGTGGCGAATCGCATCTCTGCATGTCTGGCAGACATATCAGTGTGGATGACGGATCACCACCTCAAGCTGAACCTCGGCAAGACGGAGCTGCTCTTCCTCCCGGGGAAGGACTGCCCGCTCCATGATCTCGCCATCACGGTTGACAACTCCATTGTGTCCTCCTCCTAGAGTGCAAAGAGCCTTGGCGTGACCCTGGACAACACCCTGTCGTTCTCCGCTAACATCAAGGCGGTGACCCGATCCTGCAGGTTCATGCTCTACAACATTCGCAGAGTACGACCCTACCTTACACAGAAAGCGGCACAGGTCCTAATCCAGGCACTTGTCATCTCCCGTCTGGATTACTGCAACTCGCTGTTGGCTGGGCTCCCTGCCTGTGCCATTAAACCCCTACAACTTATCCAGAACGCCGCAGCCCGTCTGGTGTTCGACCTTCCCAAGTTCTCTCATGTCACCCCGCTCCTCCGCACACTCCACTGGCTTCCAGTTGAGGCTCGCATCTACTACAAGACCATGGTGCTTGCCTACGGAGCTGTGAGGGGAACGGCACCTCCTTACCTTCAGGCTCTGATCAGACCCTACACTCAAACGAGGGCACTACGTTCATCCACCTCTGGCCTGCTAGCTCCCCTACCTCTACGGAAGCACAGTTCCCGCTTTTTTAAAAGTGGTTGTCCCACTGGCTATCATAAGTTGAATGCACCAATTTGTAAGTCGCTCTGGATAAGAGCGTCTGCTAAATGATGTAAATGTAAATGTACACACACACACACACACTCACCTTGGACTTTAACCTGTGTGGGCCCACAGGCAGGGCAGGGTAGTATGGTGAACTCCTCAGCCTGGTGCATAGAGTAGTCAGTACTGGCCACCACCACTCTGTCTCCTGGGCCCCAGCCTTCAGCTGGCTCATCTAACTCCAGGACAGTGCTGTTGTATAGATGCTCTATAGAGATGGAGGCCTGGGGACGCACTGGAGGGACAGAGACAGAGAAACACGTCAATCAATATGGTTATATCAAATACACAGACACAAAAACACACACAGACACACAAACACAAGCACACCCTTACGCACACACTCTTCCCATAAATCAGTTGGAGCAGCTGGGCTGTCAGGTTAACTGAATAGAATAAACTCCAATGAAGAGGAGCCATAACTCTCCTGCTGAATGTGTGTGTGTGTGTGTGTTATTCATAACTCATGTGCTGTACAGTATGTCCTCTGTCTGGGCTGACGTCTAGGAGGATAATGGATGAATAGAACATTGTAAGAGGATAGACATGGTACTAATGGACTAATAGGGGAATACCCCAAACCACCTTCAATCTATCAGCTAAAGGATATCACACACACATACACACAAACACACACACACACACCTAAATTGCCTTAATCAAATCAGAATCACCTAAACCATGGCTCATGATGGCATTGTGGACACATGGCTGTATAATGACATAGAGGACAGGATGTTACACTACTGTTCTGACTGTAATGATGTTACAGTACTGTTCTGACTGTAATGATGTTACAGTACTGTTCTGACTGTAATGATGTTACAGTACTGTTCTGACTGTAATGATGTTCCAGTACTGTTCTGACTGTAATGATGTTACAGTACTGTTCTGCCTGTAATGACGTTACAGTACTGTTCTGACTGTAATGATGTTACAGTACTGTTCTGACTGTAATGATGTTACACTACTGTTCTGACTGTAATGATGTTACAGTACTGTTCTGACTGTAATGATGTTACAGTACTGTTCTGACTGTAATGATGTTACAGTACTGTTCTGACTGTAATGATGTTACAGTACTGTTCTGACTGTAATGATGTTACAGTACTGTTCTGACTGTAATGATGTTACAGTACTATTCTGACTGTAATGATGTTGTAGTACTGTTCTGACAGTAATGATGTTACAGTACTGTTCTGCCTGTAATGATGTTACAGTACTGTTCTGACTGTAATGATGTTACAGTACTGTTCTGACTGTAATGATGTTACAGTACTGTTCTGACTGTAATGATGTTACAGTACTGTTCTGACTGTAATGATGTTACACTACTGTTCTGACTGTAATGATGTTACACTACTGTTCTGACTGTAATGATGTTAACACATGACGCTCAACAATCTACACAGAGACAAGTCGGGCTGTGACAGTTATGGAAGGGAGGAGATGGAGACAGTTTGACTGATTAAGGTAGAAAAGCATTCATTTACACTACTGATATTGGGTATTGTTGATATATTGACTTAAAAATACAACACAGTGAATGTATTAGAACGTTATGACAGTTATTTTATTCACAGTCTTCATCCATAATCATCAGCTACACGATTATGCAATTACAAATTATCTAACTTACATAATTTTTTTTCACTTTCATTTTTAATAAATGTGTAAACATTTCTAAAAACCTAATTCCACTTTGACATTATGGGGTAATGTGTATAGGCCAGTGACACAAAATCTAAATGTAATCCATATTTTTTTCAGGATGTAACACAACAAAATGTGGAAAAAGTCAAGGGGTGTGATTACTTTCTGAAGGTACTGTGTGTCTATGGTTGTAGCTTTGCTGTGTGTGAAGTCACTGAGTTGGCAGTGTTCTCTTCTTCAATCATAAGGGATCCATGCATACCGGGTAACCCACACAAAAAACCCACACTTATACAGTTAAGGGTAAAGCCGTTGGCACACAAATAAACACACGCACGTGGACACACACAAATACACACACACAGACGCACACGGGCACCCAACTACAGACCTCCCCCTACACACACACAGACACACACAGGTGTCCGTACCTAGTTTACCGCAGAGAAAGCGTACTCTGTAGTTGTGGCAGAGGCCGTGGCTCTGGTCCTTGTTGAGACAGACGAAGCCGTAGTCCCTGTCAGACTTATAGATGACATCTCCTGTCTCGTTAGATGGGACACCATCATGGGACTCAGCCTGGAAGAGAGAGAGAGAGAGAGAAAGAGAGAGAGGAGAGAAGAGAGAGAGAGAGAGCGAGAGAGCGAGAGCGAGAGAGAGAGAGAAGAGAGATCGAGTAGAGAGAGAGAGGAGAGAGAGAGAGGCGAGAGCGAGAGGAGAGAGAGAGAGAGCGAGAGAGAGAGCGAGAGCGAGAGAAAGAGAGAGAGAGAGAGAAGAAAGAGAAGAACAGAGGAAAAGGGTTAGAGTTAGGAAGAGGTAGAGGGAAAATAATAACTACATTTGTCACAGCAGTGCTTAACAGAAGCCTTGGCTTCAACATCCAAAGAAGAAGCCAAGACGGCAGTTTGTTTACGGTAAAATAATGTCTGTTTAAAACACCAAGGAGAAAGAAGTCAGCTTTTTCCTGTCACAGTAGACTGTGTGGGTATGACAGACAGACAAAGAGAGTGACAGTGTGTGTGTGTTTAGTCTTCCCTGTGGATGCCAAACAGCTTCTGCTTATGCCATACATGGTGACAGAGTGAATTTAGTATCTGTGAACACACACAGCGCTGGCTGCTGTGACCTCATCATAATTACAGCCAATAAAAATGGAAATAGATCAAGCTAAGCGTTGCCTTCTTTTGGCGCATCATTGTTCCAAAGTTATTTGGCTGCTACAGAGCTATAGGCACCAGCTGTTCATATATGTGTGTGTGTGTGTGTGTGTGTGGGCGTGTGTGTGTGTGTGTGTGTGTGTGTGTGTGTGTGTGTGTGTGTGTGTGTGTGTGTGTGTGTGTGTGTGTGTGTGTGCGCGCGTGTGCGTGTGTGTGTGCACGCGTGTGCGTGTGTGTGTGTGTCTGTGCGTTGAATGTGTGTGTGTGTGTGTGTCTGTGCGTTCTACCTGTATATCCATGGGGGTGCTACAGAGGCGGTCAGGGTAAGCCTTGTGGAGGTCAGACAGCTTCTCCCAGTCTCCTGATCCTCTCTCATCATCTCTGTCAAACCACTCAGTCCACTCTGCCTCTGTAACACACACACTCATTTCAATGGGATTCCTACACACCGTTGCCAAGATGTTGATGTGTGTGTGCGTGCGCATGAATGTGTGTGTGTGGAGATTAATCAAATTTACATCAAGGATTAGACTTCTTTCTAATGTGTTCTGACAAAGAGCATTAGTAGGAGAGTAGTTGAAGGGAATTTTTCCATATTATGTTGTCTGGGTTCAGTAGGGACCATGTGTGTGTGTGTGTGTGTGTGTGTGTGTGTGTGTGTTGTGTAATGAACGTAGGGGATTCTTGCTGCTCTGTTGAGCTGAATTTAAATCAAAGGCTTTCAAACAGTGATGATATGACCCCGACGGCAAGTCAGAAGTGTGTGTGTGTTACCTTGCACCCATTGACTGGAGGTGGTGATGGTAAAGTGCTCTCCGTATTCTGACTGGAACATGCGTGAACTACGAGCCTCCGAGGAGGCCTTGGTCCCTGTTCACACACACACACACACACACACACAGGAGTCAGCAGAGTAAGGAGAGGACATGTCCAGCATACTTTAACAGTGTGTTCTTTCTTTTTTTCACTCTCCCGCTAGCTGTCTGTCTGTCTGTTGTCCGTCTGTCCGTCTGTCTGTCCGTCCGTCCGTCCGTCCGTCCGTCCATCCGCCTGTCTGTCCGTTGTCTGTCCATCCGTCTGTCTGTCTGTCTGTCTGTCCGTTGTCTGTCCATCTGTCTGTCTGTATGTCTGTCTGTCTGTCTGTCTGTCCGTCTGTCTGTCCGTTGTCTGTCCTTCTATCTGTCTGTCCGTCCATCTGTCTGTATGTCTGTCTGTCTGTCTGTCCAGACAGGTGTTTGGTTTATAACATCTATAACACTATGTAAACTAAGAAATACAAGTACAATAGAGAGAGAAAGAGAAACAGAGAGAAGAGGGAGAGATACTCTAGAAAGTAAGAGAGAGAGAGAAGGGGGAGAGATACTCTAGAAAGTAAGAGAGTGAGAGAGAAGAGGGAGAGATACTCTAGAAAGTAAGAGAGAGAGAGAAGGGGGAGAGATACTCTAGAAAGTGAGAGAGAGAGAGAAGAGGGAGAGATACTACTAGAAAGTGAGAGAGAAGGGGGAGAGATACTCTAGAAAGTGAGAGAGAGAGAGAAGGGGGAGAGATACTCTAGAAAGTGAGAGAGAAGGGGGAGAGATACTCTAGAAAGTAAGAGAGAGAGAAGGGGGAGAGATACTCTAGAAAGTGAGTAGAGGATAGGGGAGAGATACTCTAAAAGTGAGAGAGTAGAGAGAAGAGGAAGTGGAGAGATAGAGACTCTAGAAAGTGAGAGAGAAGGGGGAGAGATACTCTAGAAAGTAAGAGAGAGAGAGAAGGGGGAGAGATACTCTAAAGTAAGAGAGAGAGAGACGGGGGAGAGATACTCTAGAAAGTAAGAGAGAGAGAGGGAGGTGGGTCAAAGGGAGAGAAAGAGAGGTTGAGGGAAAGATAAGGAGAGGAGAGGGTCGAGAAAGGAGAGAGAGATGAGAGAGAGTGCGGTTCACCTTGATAGATAGCATGATCCTCCACTGCAGAGGACGAGTTGCCTTTCACTGCAATGAAACTCCAGGGATGACTGGAGAAAGGGAGAGAAGAGGTGAAGAGACATAAAGTAGAGAGAGGGGGAGGGAAATAGGGAGATTGACAGTGTGAGGTGCAAGACGATAAGGATGGATGGAAAGAAAAGAAAAAGAGAGAGGGGGAGAGATATATGTCCATTACACGCACGCACACACACACACACGCACACACACACACACACACACACACACACAGTTCCAGCCAGCCCTGGTAATGATGTTGACATAAGGAGTGACGGGCTGTCGGAAAAACCCAGGGGCAGGATGGGTAATTACAGTAGCAATCCCATCATGCCTCACTCTTGTGAGGACACAGTGACACGAGTGTCAGGGGAGAGATGTGCGTGTGTGTGTGTGTGGCGTGTACTAGGTGTCTGACGAGAGTCTATGTGATATTCACACCAGGACATTCCAACTACATATTGCATTATGATTCCACCAGGAACAGTCAGAGAACTGGCATTAGAACACTTCAGGAGGGTGGTCACGTGTGCAAGCAAGGCAGAGGTCCCGAGTTCGCGCCAGGTACGGGCCCAATCGGTAGGAAGCAGTACTCGCTAAGCACGCAGTGTGACGTCCTTTACACTAGCTAGCCATCATGTTCTCAGCGTGACGTCCTTTACACTAGCTAGCCATCATGTTCTCAGTGTGACGTCCTTTACACTAGCTAGCCATCATGTTCTCAGCGTGACGTCCGTTACACTAGCTAGCCATCATGTTCTCAGTGTGACGTCCTTTACACTAGCTAGCCATCATGTTCTCAGCGTGACGTCCTTTACACTAGCTAGCCATCATGTTCTCAGCGTGACGTCCTTTACACTAGCTAGCCATCATGTTCTCAGCGTGACGTCCTTTACACTAGCTAGCCATCATGTTCTCAGCGTGACGTCCTTTACACTAGCTAGCCATCATGTTCTCAGCGTGACGTCCTTTACACTAGCTAGCCATCATGTTCTCAGTGTGACGTCCTTTACACTAGCTAGCCATCATGTTCTCAGTGTGACGTCCTTTACACTAGCTAGCCATCATGTTCTCAGTGTGACGTCCTTTACACTAGCTAGCCATCATGTTCTCAGCGTGACGTCCTTTACACTAGCTAGCCATCATGTTCTCAGCGTGACGTCCTTTACACTAGCTAGCCATCATGTTCTCAGCGTGATGTCCTTTACACTAGCTAGCCATCATGTTCTCATTTAATAGCAACTGGAGACAAGCAAAACACAACTGCAAAATGATGTGAGGTTTTATATAGATCAGCATGCCAGATATGTCTCTAAAGGTGTCTACAGTAATGACATTATATCAACAACTATTGGCTTTCATGAAATGTAAGAGCAATACACACACACACCATCCCCCACTCATAAATAGCACCATGACTTTGGTAAACATATGTAAATTGCATTCCTGGAGGATGGATTGCAGAGATCTTCGTGTTGCCAAAATGATTGCCTTATTAAAATGTGCTCTGGCACACCTCAAATAATATATTCCTTCTTCTGCTTTAACACTGTTTGGCACGAGTGTCAGGACGATAGACGACAAGAGACTTTAAGTACATCCTCCTCGTCCTCCTTCATCCGTCTTTCTCTCTCTCTCTTCTCATCTCAAGACATGGTGTGGAGATATTTCTGTGTGAATACTTGTAAACTTTGGTTCTCTGGTTGTTGGAGAAAATTAGCTGCGACTTACTTGGCAACAGTAGATAAACACACACACACACACACTGACACACACACTGACACGGTTTTATAATTTGGACACTAACAGGCTAACCGCACTGGCGTTGCTGCCAAGCTTCCCATTCTCTATGGTATTAAACTCATTTTGCCTCACGGGCCGCATTCGGTCTTCAAATATATTATATTTCCTCGCCATCAAAATAGTCCTCTGTCCATTGCTTTTGGAGTTGTTTATGCTCCCTGACTGTCTAGCTTTCATTTGGATGACTGTTAGCATGCTGGACAGAGTGAAGAGACTATAGATGACTGTTATCAAGCTGGACAGAGTGAAGAGACTATAGATGACTGTTATCAAGCTGGACAGAGTGAAGAGACTATAGATGACTGTTATCAAGCTGGACAGAGTGAAGAGACTATAGATGACTGTTATCAAGCTGGACAGAGTGAAGAGACTATAGATGACTGTTATCAAGCTGGACAGAGTGAATAGACTATAGATGACTGTTATCAAGCTGGACAGAGTGAAGAGACTATTGATGACTGTTATCAAGCTGGACAGAGTGAAGAGACTATAGATGACTGTTATCAATCTGGACAGAGTGAAGAGACTATAGATGACTGTTATCAAGCTGGACAGAGTGAAGAGACTATAGATGACTGTTATCAAGCTGGACAGAGTGAAGAGACTATATATTACTGTTATCAAGCTGGACAGAGTGAAGAGACTATATATTACTGTTATCAAGCTGGACAGAGTGAAGAGACTATAGATGACTGTTATCAAGCTGGACAGAGTGAAGAGACTATAGATGACTGTTATCAAGCTGGACAGAGTGAAGAGACTATAGATGACTGTTATCAAGCTGGACAGAGTGAAGAGACTATTAATGACTGTTATCAAGCTGGACAGAGTGAAGAGACTATAGATGACTGTTATCAAGCTGGACAGAGTGAAGAGACTATAGATGACTGTTATCAAGCTGGACAGAGTGAAGAGACTATTAATGACTGTTATCAAGCTGGACAGAGTGAAGAGACTATAGATGACTGTTATCAAGCTGGACAGAGTGAAGAGACTATAGATGACTGTTATCAAGCTGGACAGAGTGAAGAGACTATTAATGACTGTTATCAAGCTGGACAGAGTGAAGAGAGTATAGATGTAGGTCCATTATCATTTCTACACAGTTCGCATTTAGTTTTAGTCATTTCATTGTTGATTAAGATTGTTTTTTCCCCCAAACCACCCGTGGGATGGATTTAATGGGTATGTTTGACACCCTTGCTCTAAGCCATGGTAAACTCTCCTGACCAGACACGCGCACGCGCATGCACACAAACGCACGCACGGACACACACATACACTGAATCTTCTAACCCCATTCTGACAGCCATTGTAGGACATTCCGATATACTGGTGGTTGAGTTGAGTTCTACTGTATGGGAGGAATGCAATAAGTCTGAATACGATTAGCTCACTTAAATGCTCCTCACTAACCCTCAGTTTAAGAGGTTTTTTCTCTCCAAGGACTGAATCCAGCTGTATTAGGTTTTGTTATCATGGCTCAATTTACTTTCCATTTTCCATGCATTCCTGAGATACTTTAATACAGTGTGAGAGAGAGAGAGCGAGAGAGAGAGAGAGACTTGCTAGCATATGTTTTTCCTTTTATTTCTTATTTTCCGCCCTGCTTTCACTAAGCAGTCCTGTGCCAGGAGAGATAAAGAGACACTGCACAAACAAAAATGTGGAGATTTCTGGTGGCTAGACCAGGGAGAGGGAGAGAAAGTGAGAGGGAGAAAGAGGGAGACGGCTGCCTGTCAGTGGCTTATAAATCAGAGTGTGATGTTATGCTACGCTACATTGCTATGCTAGGTCAGCCAGCGCAGCACTGCCTGACAAACAGGTCAGGAGAGGAGTGATCTGCTAGTGCTACGCTAGGTGGCTACGCTGGGTCGCTACACTGGGTGGCCACACTAGGTGGCTACGCTAGTGCTATCATGCTCTAGCTCAAATGCTTGAATGGAGCACATCCATTCGGGTGTGGAGGGATAGAAAGATAGAGCGAAGGATAGAGAGAGGTAGAGGGAGGTGGGGAGAGGTAGAGAGAGGTAGAGAGAGGTAGAGAGATGTAGAGAGAGGTAGAAGAGCGATGAGAGAGAGAGGAGAGAGAGAGAGAGAGAGAGAGAGAGATAGGAGAGAGAGAGGAGAGAGCTAGGGGCAGCGAGGGAGTAGGGATGTATAGAGAGATAGATGGGAAGTGACGGCGGTCAGCGCTGTAGCGAGAGTATGGAGGCGAGGTAGAGAGAGAGAGACGAGAGAGAGCGAATGAGAGAGAGCGAGATGAGAGCGAGATAGAGAGAGAGAGAGAGAGAGAGAGAACTGGATTTCTCCAGTGACTCAGGACTCAACTCACAACACACCAAGTCAGGGCCAATTGGTGGCTTAACCCTTGGCTGTGGCTATAGATTAGAAATAAGACTTCAATGGTAAAGCAACAACAAGTTATTTACCATTTAGCATACCACTTAGTATCTATTTTAAACAATTGCCAGCAGAACAGAGTACTCTAACATTGCATCTGCCCATGTCCTTTGATTTCAAGTTCCTTCCAGCCCTGGCAGTTGCCCCAAAGGCAGTTGGTTCAGGCCAAGCAGCTGTAGAAATGGTTGGCTACAGATGGATCACAATGCATAAAAGGTTTTTGGAAACCCCTGGGTTAGAGGTCAGGGGTCAAGGAGTGTCTGCTCCCCAGCTTAGTGATGGTCTTCCAAAAAATTACCAAATACTAATATCAATCAGCTAATCATAATAATAATATACATGTATAGCGTAATATAGGTTGCAAAATTCCCTGGTTGGAGGACAGGGGTCAGGGGTCAGGGAACCTACCGGAAGCCCAGGCGGTGGAAGTGTCTACTCCCCAGCTTGGTGAGGGACTTCCTGGCCGAGTCCTCTAGGTTGTTAGATCCCTCGTCGTTGACCACCATGGCCAGAATCATCCCATTGTCTACCACATCCACATACTGGGCCAGGCGACGACTCTCTTCTTTACTGCGGTATGTGTCAAACCTGGGGGAGGCGAATGGCTAGCCTATATCAGTGTTTCCCAATTCCGGTCCTCCAGTATCCACAATAGCACACATGTTTGTTGTGTCGGACAAAAACACCCGATTCAACTTGTCAAGGGCTTGATGATTAGTTGACAAGTAGAATCAGGTGTGCTTGTTTGGGGCCACAACATAAATATGTACTGTTGCGGGTAGAGGAGGCCTGGAGTTGGGAAACACTGGCCTATATCATAGCTACATAACAGAGCACATGTTACTGAGTTATATTACAGGAGGCCTGGCGTTGGGAAACACTGGCCTATATCATAGCTACATAACAGAGCACATGTTACTGAGTTATATTACAGGAGGCCTGGCGTTGGGAAACACTGGCCTATATCATAGCTACATAACAGAGCACATGTTACTGAGTTATATTACAGGGGGCCTGGAGTTGAGAAACACTGGCCTATATCATAGCTACATAACAGAGCACATGTTACTGAGTTATATTACAGGAGGCCTGGAGTTGAGAAACACTGGCCTATATCATAGCTACATAACAGAACACATGTTACTGAGTTATATTACAGGGGGCCTGGAGTTGAGAAACACTGGCCTATATCATAGCTACATAACAGAGCACATGTTACTGAGTTATATTACAGGGGGCCTGGAGTTGGGAAACACTGGCCTATATCATAGCTACATAACAGAACACATGTTACTGAGTTATATTACAGGGGGCCTGGAGTTGGGAAACACTGGCCTATATCATAGCTACATAACAGAGCACAAAAAAAGACCTTCACACAATTACTCCAACAAAAGTCTTCTTTTGAATGTTGATTTGTGGTGGATCTTCTGATAAATGTGTCAACAAATATCAATGAATGATTGCACACAGCCCCATGGAAGCTTCCTGTAAGTAAGATCTTGAGGGTGAGGTCTCAAGATTTTGTGAGGAAATTGAGGTCAATGGTAATTGAGGTCTAACCAATAGTAAGCCCATTTGTCAATGGGGTTTTAATTTCTCAATGGGGTTCAGTTTCTGACAAAATACTCAAGACTTGCCTTCTCTTGGAAGCAGTTTGTTTTGTTTAATTGGTTTTTTAATTATTGTTTACCAGTACTCTGACGGCATATTAAATGTTTTTCTAACTACGTATTAAATGTTTTATGACATTCTTTATTCAATCAGAGATGTTGAACGATGGGATGGGGAGAACATAACACATCGAATAGATAGTTAATACCAACAGGAATGTCTTTATTCTCCCTCATTATCTGTCATGACTTAAAGATGGAATCTGCATTAGGGGAAACAGCGCCACTGTCCGCCCCAGCACCTTTGCTATTGTTTTAGTTTTGTGGACGAAACGGAGGTGAGGTGCGTCGAACAGCATGGTAAAAAAAAATGTGCAGTACATATTCTGCTGTTCTATCGCGGGTGCAATGATGTTAGACGGAAAAAAAACTGTGTTTGTTGTCTGCAGTAACTTCTTTGTTGTAATATCCCAAACGGACATGGCAGTTTCACTATGAAGGATTCCAGCTTTAAAGAGACAATTTCCTCCAGTGATTAAAAAAAAAACATGTTTGCTTCTCACAACCATTCCAGTAACTTTCTAAAAGTCCCCTGGTTTTCCAGAAATCCCAGTTGGAAGATTTCCGGAATAATGATATAATAATAATAATAATAATAATAATAATAATAATAATATGCCATTTAGCAGATGCTTTTATCCAAAGCGACTTACAGTCATGCGTGCATACATTTTTGTGTATGGGTGGTCCCGGGGATCGAACCCACTACCCTGGCGTTACAAGCACCATGCTCTACCAGCTGAGCTACAGAGGACCAGAGGAAGGAGTCTTCCAACCTAAGTTCTGGAAAACCTGGGAACTTTTGAAAAATGTACCAGAATTGTGGAAGCCTAAAAGTGAAATAAAAACAGAACATAAAAAATACCTATCATTCTGGAGTACTTCTCCAGTCTTGGGGTCGATGATGTGAACGATGATTCCCCGGTTGCCCCAGCCCCTCTCGAACAGGTAGCTGTTGTCCTCGCTCTCCCCGGGGTGCAGGGTCTTGTTGAGGAACGTCCACGACAGCTTCTTCTTCCCGTGGATCTCCAGCGTCCCTCCAGTCCCCACGCCAATGTACTTACGGCCAAAGTAACTGTGCTCTGTGTCTGTGTCGTCAGACCTGGAGAAGAGTAAATGATTGATCAACCAATTAATCAAGGCTAGGGGCTAGAGGGTTACACAATAGGGGATAAGGCGATATAGGCTAGAAGATACTAGACTAAAGATAAAGACTAAAGACTAGAGACTAGGGGCTAGGAGACAGAGGCTAGGGGCTAGGAGATAGGGTCTAGGAGATAGAGGCTAGGAGATAGAGACTAGGGGGGAGGAGATAGTGCCTAGGAGTTAGGAGATAGAGGCTAGGAGTTAGGTGATAGAGGCTAGGGTCCAGGAGATTCATGTAGAGGCTAGAATCTAGGAGATAGAGGGCAGAGGTGGAGCTTATGGACAAGTGGATTGGAGTTAAGAGCTAGGAGATGGAGACTAGAGGCTAGAAGATAGAGGAAAGGAGCTAGGAGATAGAGCCTAGAGGCTAGGAGAGGCTAGGAGATAGAGGATAGGAGCTAGGAGAAAGATACTAGAGGCTATGAGATAGAGACTAGGAGCTAGGAGAAAGAGTCTAGGAGCTAGGAGAAAGAGGCTAGAGGCTAGGCGAGACTAGGAGATAGAGGCTAGGGGCTAGGAGATAGAGGATAGGAGAGGCTATGAGATAGAGTCTAGGAGAGGCTAGGAGATAGAGGCTAGGAGCTAGAGCCTAGAGGCTAGGAGAGGCTAGGAGATAGAGGATAGGATCTAGGAGAAAGAAGCTAGGAGCTAGGAGAAAGAAACTAGAGGCTAGGAGAAGCCAGGAGATAGAGGCTAGGAGCTAGGAGAAAGAGCCTAGAGACTAGGAGAAAGAGGCTGGGAGCTAGGAGATATAGCCTAGAGGCTAGGAGCTAGGAGATAGAGGATATGCACTAAGACAAAGAGGCTAGAGGCTAGGAGAAAGAGGATACAGTCTAGAGGCTACCAAATAGATTGAGGGCTGAAGGCTACGAGCTAGGTTTTTTGGTCCGGGTACATTACCCACCTTCCAAATAAGGAGATGGTAAGGTTGCCCTTATACGGGCAGTCAGGACTTCCTATGTGCAGCTGTCCTCTGTTGCCGATCAGAATGTGTTTGGTACGCAGTAGGATGGGACGATCCGAATCTGCTATCACTAACTTTCCTAGAGAGAGAAGGAAAGAGAGAGAGAGAGAGAGAGAGAGAGAGAGAGAGAGAGAGAGAGAGAGAGAGAGAGAGAGAGAGAGAGAGAGAGGAGAGAGAGAGAGAGAGAGAGAGAGAGAGAGAGAGAGAGAGAGAGAGAGAGAGAGAGAGAGAGAGAGGAAAGAGAGAGAGAAAGATATCTTTACTGGTGAGGTGTCCTGACAGGTATTTCATGCCCTGGCGCCCAACACATCACATCACCCTTCCTTTTATGGCACTGAGCTGTGGCTCACACACACACACACAGACACACAGGAAAACTCAATAACCCTTTATGAGGGCTGCATTTCACGATAATGTCCATCTGACAGAGGTTATATAGTCCTGTAGTGAAGTGGATGAGAGATGGGGACTTTGATTACACTGTGTGTTAGTGGTTAGACACATACCTGGACACATAGTATCAGGTTCCTAACTCACACATACACACACACGTAACACTGTTACATTGATGATGTTGACCCAGATCACTGGTTGCTGCGGAGAAGGAGGAGGTCAAAGGGGGGGGTGTAGCCTGTGTGAAATGGCTAGCTAATTAGCGGTGCGCGCTAGTGGAATTTCAAATCGGTGACGTCACTCGCTCTGAGACCTTGAAGTAGCTGTTTCCCTTGCCCTGCAAGGGCCGCAGCTTTTGTGGAGCGATAGGTAACGATGCTTCGAGGGTAACTGTTGTCGATGTGTGCAGAGGGTCCCTGGTTGGAACCCAGTTTGGGGCGAGGAGCTGGAAGCCAGACTGTTACACACACAACTGATGGATAACATACATTCGGGTGACAGTTTAACAATATTATCGCACACACACACACACACACACAGACGTACCTCCGTTGAGGATCTCTATTGAGTGGACGGTAGCTGACGAGGTGAGGATGACCTTTCTGCCGTAACCAATGGTAACTTGGTGGGCTTCACTGTGGCCGGGGGTCCATGGCTGCAGGCCGGGCTCCCTGTCTGGACACACTGTTGGATAGACCAATAGGGTTAATATCATGACACACACCCACAGATCTAACTGATGTTCTGATCTGGCCCATAGTTTCCAACAACAAACAACACTATGCCAACATCCTCTAATTCATTCATTAGTCAATGTCATTTATTGGCCGGACAACAAACGGGCTGGCCAACCAGATTTTCCCCTGGGCTAATACAGATTGATTAATAGGTTCTAATCGACTGGTTTTCTCCATGAAAGAACCCAGCTGAGAAACCATCGGACACAGCAGTTTGTGGGTTAGGTCTTGAAACTACATCTGTCTGTGCTTTAGCCAACTCATTTGTCATTTTCATGTCGTGTCTGACTCAAGGAGTTGGCTAAAGAACTAACTGTTACTGTAACAATGAGTTAGATGGCTAGTAGTCTAGCTCTGGGGGAAACTGGAGGTTCAGAGAGAGAGAAAGAGAGAGAGAGAGAGAGGAGAGAGAAAGATAGAGAAACATACAGAAAGAGAGAGAAAAATGGACAGAGAGCGAGAGAGAGAGAGAGAGAGCAAGAGACAGGGAGAGAGAGAGAGTAAAGGGAAGTATCTGGGGTCATCCAAGAGGTTCAGAGTTCCTACTTCCTCTGTTCTCTGTGTGATCACGATGTGGACGACAGTAGCTCAGTAGGGTGATCTGCAACAGGCCTTGCACTACACTGGGTAATGACATGTGCATGTTCACATACACACAGTATTCCACACAAACAACGTTATCAAACTCAAATAAAATGTGGACACAGGCAAAAACACAAACTTATGGAAGCCCTGAAGCCCAAGGCAAAAGAAAAAGACTTAAGCTTACTTGAAATGGGAAGCGTTTTTTTTAAGCTTGTGAACGAGCGTGCTCATGCTGGAAATAGAATGCATATGAGTGAATGAGAGAAAACAGACAGGCCACGAGTGTCAACGGCGTCTATGGCGTCATAGTGCTTCAAATTAGAATGCAAGGGACTAGGGACTGCGTCTACCCGGAGCATTGCAGGTAAAATTAGTAGATAAATTGCATTTGTAGAAAAGGAATTAAAGGAATTGTTATGATCTTACCTTTGCTAAGTAGACTAAAATGTATTGGGTTTATCACACATTATTCATATACACACTGACACAACACAATCATACACACACACACACACACACAAACACACTGATACAACAAACACATACACACATACAGTGGATTCGGAAAGTATTCAGACCCCTTCCCTTTTTCCACATTTTGTTACGGTACAGCCTTATTCTACAATTGATTAAATTGTTTTTGTTTCTCATCAATCTACACACAATACCCCATAATGACGAAGTGAAAACATTGTTTTAGAAATTTTTGCAAACGTATTAAAATACAAAAACTGAAATACCTTATTTAAATAAGTATTCAGATCCTTTGCTGTGAGACTCGAAATTGAGCTCAGGTGCATCGTGTTTCCATTGATCAACTTTGAGATGTTTCTACAACTTGATTGGAGTCCACCTGTGGTAAATTCAATTGATTGGACATGATTTGGAAAGGCACACACCTGTCTATATAAGGTCCCACAGTTGAAAGTGCATGTCAGAGCAAAAACCAAACCATGAGGTCGAAGGAATTGTCCGTAGAGCTCTGAGACAGGATTGTGTTGAGGCACAGATCTGGGGAAGGGTACCAAAACATTTCTGCAGCATTGAAGGTCCCCAAGAACACAGTGGCTTTCTTAAATGGAAGAAGTTTGGAACCATCAAGACTCTTCCTAGAGCTGGCCAACCGGCCAGCAATCGGGGGAGAAGGACCTTCGTCAGGGAGGTGACCAAGAACCCGATGGTCACTCTGACAGAGCTCCAGAGTTCATCTGTGGAGATGGGAGAACCTCCCAGAAGGACAACCATCTCTGCAGCACTCCACCAATCAGGACTTTATGGTATAGCGACCCGACGGTAGCCACTCCTCAGTAAAATGCACATGGAGTTTGCAAAAAGGCACCTAAAGGACTCCCAGACCATGAGAAACAAGATTATCTGGTCTGATGAAACCAAGATTGAACTCTTTGGCCTGAGCATCACGCCAAGCATCAAGTCTGGAGGAAACCTGACACCATCCCTACGGTGAAGCATGGTGGTGGCGGCATCATGCTGTGGGGATGTTTCTCAGCGGCAGGAACTGGGAGAATAGTCAGGATCGAGGGAAAGATGAATGGAGTAAAGTACAGAGAGATCCTTGATGAAAACCTACTCCAGAGTGCTCAGGACCTCAGACTGGTTGGCCCAGCCAGAGCCCGGACTTGAACCCGATCTCTGGAGAGACCTGAAAATAGCTGTGCAGCGACGCTCCCCATCCAACCTGACAGAGCTTGAGAGGATCTGCAGCTAAGAAACTCCTCAAATACAGGCGTGCCAAGCTTGTAGCGTCATACCCAAGAAGACTCGAGGCTGTAATCACTGCCAGAGGTGCTTCAACAAAGTACTGAGTAAAGGGTACTTATGTAATTTTTATATACATTTGCAAAAATGTCTAAAAACCAGTTTTTGCTTTGTCATTATGGGGTATTGTGTGTAGATAGATGAAGAAAAAAAAACTATTGAATCCTTTTTAGAATAAGGTTGTACCGTAACAACATGTGGATAAAGTCAAGGGGTCTGAATACTTTCCGAATGCGCTGTACGTCCTCGCTCCACAACTCTCCCAGCATTCAGAGTGAGCGGATAATAATATTATTCCCAAGGAAGAGAGGCCAAGTCTCGGCGTGCCTGGCAGCGGACATGTGGAAACGCTGACCTCAACGCTTTTCAGACTGTTTCAGCAAAAAGACACAGTGTACCCTGACTGAACTCTGTCTCAAATGACACCACTACACACACAAACAAACACAGACACACAGACAGCCACACACACACACACACACACACGTGCCCTGCTTTTGACCGGAGCCACATAGGGATAGCCACATAAATCTCTGGTCAAACACAGGACACTATATTTATATTTATATTTATATTTAGGGAATAGGTTTTGAAAGCCAGGAATGATTTATAAACTGAAACAACGGACTGGATGCAAGTTTTTCAATAGGAAATTGTGTGTGCGTGCGTGTGTGTGTGTGTGTGTGTGTGTGTGCGTGCTAGGGTTGTCACGATACGAGTATCAAGATACTTTGATACTCGATTGTCCATGGCCAAACATGAAAACACAAAGCCGACTTGACTCTTTGGTCCTTTAAAAACCTGCTGCATGTAAAATATTGTGAGCTATAACTTGGAAAATAAATACATGTGACTCTGGATGACAACATAAAGATGTTTGTTTCCAATTAGGACGGTTTTCATTGAGTGTTTCAACAACAACACAACAACACCCCACAATCATACTGAAACAACAACACAACAACACCCCACAATCATACTGAAACAACAACACCCCACAATCATACTGAAACAACAACACCCCACAATCATACTGAAACAACAACACCCCACAATCATACTGAAACAACACCCCAACATCATACTGAAACACAACCCCCACAATCATACTGAAACAACCAACACCCCACAATCATACTGAAACAACAACAACCCCACAATCATTTACTGAAACAACAAACACCCCACAATCATACTGAAACAACAACACACCCACAATCATACTGAAACAACAACACCCCACAATCATACTGAAACAACAACACAACAACACCCACAATCATACTGTAAACAACAACACCCCACAATCATACTGAAACAACAACACAACAACACCCCACAATCATACTGTAAACAACAACACCCCACAATCATACTGTAAACAACAACACAACAACATCCCACAATCATACTGTAAACCAACACAACAATACCCCACAATCATACTGTAAACAAACAACACAACAATACCCACAATCATACTGTAAACAACAACCACAACAATACCCCACAATCATACTGTAAACAACAACACAACAACCCCACAAGCATACTGTAAACCACAACACAACAACCCCCACAAAGCAACTGCAAACAACACACAACAACAACCCCACAAAGCATGCTGTAAACTATTTCAGCATACTGGTAGCTCTTGTCTATTTCTGCCCCCAACCACTAGTACTCATTCTGTGAATCCCTATGGAAAGGCAGATGAGATGATTATTTGAAGAAGTTGCCCTTAGGCACAGATCTAGGATCAACTTTTCCTCCATGGAGCTTAACCCTAACCATTATGAGGAATATTCAGTGTCTAAGGGGGATCTTCACCTTACTCCATTGGGCTCTACCACTGGGTAGCAGAGGGTGTTAATAAACAGCATGCACTAATTATATTTACTGTTTAAAGTCTTTGTCATTATGTTGTAACTTCATGCTGTGTTTTAAGAGCACACTGACAAAAAAAGCAGAACACACACGTACACACACACACTCACAGAAAGGCATGATGTTGTGTGTGTGTGTGAATATGTGTGTGTGTGTGTATTTACAACTGACAAAAACAGCAGCATAAACACGTGCCTCCTTCCTACTGCTCATGTTACTTTTTTGCCCTTTGAAGGGTAGGTGGGATTACAACCCTCTCTGGCAACCGGAGGATAGTCAACCTGGCAACGAAAGCTAGGCCTTCATGTTAGTGATTATACAGAGTAGCTTAATGTCAAATCTTCCATGTGCAATTACAATAAAACACTATGGTATAAAACAGCAGAGAGAGAGAGAGAGAGAGAGAGAGAGAGAGAGAGAGAGAGAGAGAGAGAGAGAGAGAAGGAAAGAAGGAAATGTAACTAGAAATATTTGTTATGTGTCTGTTAATATGAAATACTGTGGAGTCTAGCCATGGCTTTAGAGGCTGCCCTGCCACACACACACGCACGCACGCACGCACACACGCACGCACGCACGCACGCACGCACACACACACACACGGAGAAGGAGGTCCACTCTCCTTTCCTCACAAGTGGCAGACACAGTTATACCTTCAATCGCTCAGACTGACCTACTTCCTCCTCCTCTCTCACTCCCTCCTCCTCTCTCCCTCCCTCCTCCTCTCTCCCTCCCTCTTTCCCTCTCCTTACCTCTCCTTACCTCTCTTCCAAACCCTCCCCATCCCTCTCACTCCCTCGTTCTTTCCCTCTCTCTCCTTCCATTTCACCCCCTCCATCCTTCTCAGTCATTCTCCCTCCACCTCCTAACCTCTCCTTCTATTTCTCTGCCTCCCTTCATCTCTCTTCCTCCCTTCATCTCTCTTCCTCCCTTCATCTCTCTTCCTCCCTTCATCTCTCTCCATCCATTTATCCTTCATCTCTCTCTCTCTCCATCCTACACAACTACAAAGGTCAAGGACCTAAAAATAGCCATTCTGCAGCTAGTCAGGGCTATGTTCCACTACAGAATAATCTACCCTTTACCAGGGCTATGTTCCACTACAGAATAATCTACCCTTTACCAGGGCTATGTTCCACTACAGAATAATCTACCCTTTACCAGGGCTATGTTCCACTACAGAATAATCTACCCTTTACCAGGGCTATGTTCCACTACAGAATAATCTACCCTTTACCAGGGCTATGTTCCACTACATAATAATCTACCCTTTACCAGGGCTATGTTCCACTACAGAATAATCTACCCTTTACCAGGGCTATGTTCCACTACAGAAAACTCTACCCTCTACCAGGGCTATGTTCCACTACAGAATAATCTAACCTTTACCAGGGCTATATTCCACAACAGAAAACTCTACCCTCTAATAGGGCTATATTCCACTACAGAGAACTCTACCCTCTACCAGGGCTATATTCCACAACAGAAAACTCTACCCTTTACCAGGGCTATATTCCACTACAGAGAACTCTACCCTCTACCAGGGCTATATTCCACTACAGAGAACTCTACCCTCTACCAGGGCTATATTCCACTACAGAGAACTCTACCCTCTACCAGGGCTATATTCCACAACAGCAAACTCTACCCTCTACCAGGGCTATATTCCACTACAGAGAACTCTACCCTCTACCAGGGCTATATTCCACTACAGAGAACTCTACCCTCTACCAGGGCTATATTCCACTACAGAGAACTCTACCCTCTACCAGGGCTATATTCCACTACAGAGAACTCTACCCTCTACCCTCTACCAGGGCTATATTCCACTACAGAAAACTCTACCCATTATAACTCAAGCAACTCTAGTGACTATATGGTGGACTTGGGGCGGTATTCTGACTTCAGATCATAGTCTCATGCCTGTAATAACAGCTGAATTACCTGTCCTAAACCACTAATACCTGTCATTACACAGTCATAACATTCATAAGAGCTGTAATAGCTGCAGTACTGACCTGTCGTAAACCCCTAATACCTCTCTAATACCTGTCATAACACAGTCATAACATTCATAAGAGCTGTAATAGCTGCAGTACTGACCTGTCGTAAACCCCTAATACCTCTCTAATACCTGTCATAACACAGTCATAACATTCATAAGAGCTGTAATAGCTGCAGTACTGACCTGTCGTAAACCCCTAATACCTCTCTAATACCTGTCATAACACAGTCATAACATTCATAAGAGCTGTAATAGGTGCAGTACTGACCTGTCGTAAACCCCTAATACCTCTCTAATACCTGTCATAACACAGTCATAACATTCATAAGAGCTGTAATAGGTGCAGTACTGACCTGTCATAAACCCCTAATACCTCTCTAATACCTGTCATAACACAGTCATAACATTCATAAGAGCTGTAATAGGTGCAGTACTGACCTGCCTGTATGATAGGCAGCACAGCCATCAGTAGTGGGACGCACGTCTTCATCTCTCAATGAGAAGTATGGACTACTGTGAGAAGAGTGGACTTCTCCAGAGTGTGCACTTCAGCGTGTGCAATTGGTAGGGTTTAATGTGGGTTAGCAGGGGCTCACAGGGGGATAAGGCCAAAGGCACCTGCAATAAGATCAGATAGAAGAAGATTGTTAAGGCTTGGCATCGTAACTTGACACTGAAACGTGCAGACACACACACACACATTCACACACACACTCATACGTACACACTCATGCATATGCACACGTGTGCACACAAACAAACATGTGCGTGCGCACACACACGACTGACGTACAACATTCCATGGGGCCATGCTCTTCACAGTGAAGGCTTTGGAGGATTTGAAAACGTTGGTGTTTTAGGCTCATCTTCAAAGAGTTGGAGGAGAGAAGCTTTCTCCCGATATCTCCCATCTCTCAACAGGATCAAAGAGTAGCACAATGACTAACGTAGCATCGCCACTGGGATAATAACTGTTATACCTCACTTGTTTTAAACTAGTTATATAAAACAATTACGTAACAAGGAGGAAAAACCCTACTGTACGAGGACACCCATCACAGACTAAATGTAAGGCCCAATTAAATGGACTGTGTTGTGTTGTATTGATGCAGTACCTGTTTTTGCAAAGGTAAAAAAAAGAAGTTATTATGGGTATTAAAATAAATTATATTAAACCTATTACTGGTCGACTCCTTTCAGGTAGATGTACAGATGTGTTTAAGTAGGGTGGCAAAACTCCAGTAAAGGTTTTCCAGAAATCCTGGTTGGAGGATTCTGGGTTTTCTGCTTATTCCCTGCTGATTCTGGGATCTTCCAACTAGGTTTCTGGAAAACCTGGGAATTTTGGGAAAGTTCCCAGATTTTTGCAACCCTATTGAGGAGTAGATTTTGAACAAAGACATTGCATAAACATTTCTAAAGTGGATTTGATTGAATTCTAGTGTCAGTATTCCTATTATACATGGTAGCCTATAGTTGCTATTTAGTTTTTCGTCTGTTGTTTTAACCATAGTGGAGTTGGATAAAGCATACCCATTACATTACATTTAAGTCATTTAGAAAACGCTCTTATCCAGAGCGACTTACAGGAGAAATTAGGGTTAAGTGCATTGCTCAAGGGGACATAGACAGATTTTTCACCTAGTTGACTCAGGGATTTGAATCAGCGACCTTTCGGTTACTGGCCCAACGCTCTTAACCACTAGACTACCTGCTGCCCGACCCAAAATCAACACTAGGCTAAAATAATTTGTAGATGCATGAAGACATTACACACAAATAAATAAATGACGTAACATAGATTTGTGGAACAGTTGTGAGTTTATTCCATCCATCTCAAGGGAGGAATTGTATACAGAGAGAGGCTTCCATTAGTCATAGTATAGTGAGTATCCTCTTGTCAAAACACAACTGGACCTGCAGACAGAGGGGAGGTTGGGACTAAACAGTCCCCTCATCAATACTGGTGTTCTCAGTCCCACAATGCCACAGGACAGCTGGTCCTGTCAGTCCTGCAGAGAGAGAAGATAAGATAAGGGTTACTGTGTGTGTGTGTGTGTGTGTGTGTGTGTGTGTGTGTGTGTGTGTGTGTGTGTGTGTGTGTGAGAGAGAGATCCACTAAAGGGGTATTAACAGCACGTACATTCCTCTGTTCAAAACTGACGTGATGCCCCCCCCCCCCCCCCCCCCCCCCACAGTATTCACTAAAGTAAGCTTGTCATGTGTACGTGTGTGTGTGTGTGTATTCAACCAAATCCATCACCCTCAGATCATGTCAGTCACACCACCCCTATTATTGTATACCATAGTCAGAGTGAACTGAGAGGTTCTGTCTAGACCAACATGTCTTAGAATCTATAGACTGAGAGGTTCTGTCTAGACCAACATGTCTTAGAATCTATAGACTGAGAGGTTCTGTCTAGACCAACATGTCTTAGAATCTATAGACTGAGAGGTTCTGTCTAGACCAACATGTCTTAGAATCTATAGACTGAGAGGTCCTCCCAGACTAAAACATCACTCTTTCCTGAGGTGTGAAAAAGAAAATACTCCCTGTGTGCCCCAAATGGTACCCTATTCCCTATATAGTGCACTACTTTTAACCAGGGCCCATAGGGCTTTGGTCAAAAGTAGTGCACTATGAAAGGGAATAGGGTGCCATTTGCAACGCAGGCCCAGTTTCTCTCAGAAGTGGAGGGGAGCTTGAAAGAGCGTTAAAGGAAAGATAACTCCACATCCATCTCTGTCTTTAATGCTGACTAACCTCCAGACTATCTGAGAAGAGCAGCGTTCAATGGAAGTACACTGAGATACAGATACCTTTGTTTTCAAAGTGGGACAAAATACCTTTCTTCTGCCCTACGCTACTGTGAGAATGCAAGTTTGGATTCAATCAATATTATCTGTGGGAGAAAAACAAGTTCAGAAAAACTCCTCCCAAATACTCTATTATTTACCTGGCTCAAAATGTGTTTCTGGCACATATTTCAGCAAGGGGAATATGCTTTTTATATGTTCTATTTATATTTGTAAATTAACCAATGATATCAAGCCACACCCGGCCATGATTACAGACACCTGTGTGTCCTTTGACACTATATAAACTAGTGACACGCACTGTCTGTCATTATACCCTGATGAAGACAGCTCGTCTGTCCAAATGTTGGTTATTAAATTATAACATCTGAGCTCCTAGAGATTGAGGCTCTCTTTTTATTTTTCAAGCGTTCTACTCCGCTAGCCAGCACCTCGCCTAAACAGGTGTTCTACTCCGCTAGCCAGCACCTCTCCTAAACAGGTGTTCTACTCCGCTAGCCAGCACCTCGCCTAAACAGGTGTTCTACTCCGCTAGCCAGCACCTCGCCTAAACAGGTGTTCTACTCCGCTGGCCAGCACCTCTCCTAACCAGGTGTTCTACTCCGCTAGCCAGCACCTCTCCTAAACAGGTGTTCTACTCCGCTAGCCAGCACCTCTCCTAAACAGGTGTTCTACTCCGCTAGCCAGCACCTCTCCTAAACCGCACTCCCTAAACGTGTTCACTCCGCTAGCCGATATGTACCAGAACAGGTGTTCTAGCTGTCTCTAAACAGTGTGTGTTTCTCCTCCTCCAGCAAGGGGAATATTAACAGAACAGTAGTTCAGTAGCTGTCTACATTGTATACACACACACAGTAGTGTCCAGGCCTGCTGGTTATGAGAGAGTTTTATGGGCTCAGCGGAACTATAAAAAGCTGGAGTTACTCTATGTCTCAGCACTGCTCTGTGGAAACACACACACACCACTTCCCACAGGATTAATAGAACAGAGAACTTCGGTGAGGGATTCACCTTTTTCTCTTCCGAAGTGCGCTCGCCAGCCACTCATACCCACACACACACACACCACAAAACACACGCCCGCCCATGGAAAACGGGGTGGAGACCGGACCTTCAAAACACCATAATTTCCTTCTAAACTAAAACCAGACCCAAATGTCCTGTATAAACATCCATTACCTCCATGAATAGTTTAAAATAATATACTTTTAGGGTAAAACACAGCAGTATAAACCTAAAACTACAATAAATAATATACTATTATGGTAGAATACCAAATGACATAGACAAAGCAGGACTATTGTAGCAGGTGGGTGTTGTAAAACCATGGACAGCTGGATTTACAGTAGCTACAGTAGGTAATGGTATTTCACCCAAAACACTGAATATGAGACGAACATGATCCCCCTAGAACTCTGCTGATGAGACACACACCCTAAAATCTACACCACGCCCTAGCATAACACACACACACTCGCACATGCACACTCACACACAGTTGCACACATCACACACAGCGTCCAGACTGATATATGGTCAATGCAGAGATAATTGACATGTAGCAGTAATGCTAACCTCTATTGCAGGGTTCCCCAATCGGCAGCCCGCGGCCCGAATTTGGCCCTCGGGTGATTTTATTTGCCCCCTCAAGTTTTCTGAGCCAAATAATTATTATTGAATTTTTTATTTTTAGACATAAAATCTGTAAAAACACCAGCAAATCAGCTCTAGTTGATGATCCCTGCGGCTGAATCTAGTTGATGATCCCTGCGGCTGAATCTAGTTGATGATCCCTGCAGCTGAATCTAGTTGATGATCCCTGCGGCTGAATCTAGTTGATGATCCTGCGGCTGAATCTAGTTGATGATCCCTGCGGCTGAATCTAGTTGATGATCCCTGCGGCTGAATCTAATTGATGATCCCTGCGGCTGAATCTAGTTGATGATCCCTGCGGCTGAATCTAGTTGATGATCCCTGCGGCTGAATCTAGTTGATGATCCCTGCGGCTGAATCTAGTTGATGATCCCTGCGGCTGAATCTATTGTGATTCCTGCGGCTGAATCTAATGATGATCCTGCGGCTGAATCTAGTTGATGATCCCTGTAGCTGAATCTAGTTGATGATCCCTGCAGCTGAATCTAGTTGATGATCCCTGCATTATTGTCTATCGGAGGTCACAGCAATAAGATGGTTTCTCTGGTCTGATCACTCAGTGAAAGCAGAGCTCACTGTCTGTTGAAACAGCTTTTTATAGACCTCTGTCCAGACACACTAATCCTGTTCAATATACCCTTGTCTGTCTGTCTGTCCGTCTGCGTGTCAGTCTGTCCGTCTGCCTGTCTGTCTCCCTGTGTGCCTAGACAAAGTTAAGCACAAGTGCAGTCAATTCCTCTTTAATGCCACTTTAATTGAGAAATCTATCTATATGACTCATATTGCGGGTGACATTTAGAAGAAAGGCTCACTTTCCTTCTTAAAACGCCCAGCAAAGGCTTCTGTCAACAAGTGAATCCAGATGGAGAGATCCCCCAGAAGGCCTCAGGGCCAGGGAACAGAAGGGTCGCGTTCAGTAGGGCACACCGTAGAGGAACATTTCGCAACGCAATAGGAATATCAGTGTTCTTATTGGACGAGTTCACTTAAGCACCTTCCCATTTTAAAAAGTTTTCTCTCTACTGAACAGGAGCCACCCAGATGAGCCTGGAGCGTTCTGAACAGCAAGGGAGAAACTCCACACCAGTAGTCACCAACCCTTTGCTGTTCCTGGAATCCGTTCAAGTATTCTTGGCATTAGTGCTGGGCTGGAACAAA